GACCCTCAGATACCTTATGGGTAAAAGTAAATTATCCTCAAGAAGTTTGAAGATCCTTACGAACTTATTAATGTCAAAACAAAATATAACGTCACTATGACGGCCAGTCATATTATGAATATGCGAATTTATGTTATTTACATATACTTATTAGGAGCGATGAGCACATATATAGATACATGTATAGACGTAGCTACAATGAGCGACATAGGGATGTTAAAACCACCAAAAATTATACTTAATTATTTTTGTCGAATTCCTGATTTCCGGAAATGGTTTTACTGAATCGTAGGATAAACTACTGACCTAGGAAATCGAAGTTGCATTTTAAAGTAATTTTAATGGTGCCATGATAACTGACAGCCTTGTTGCCGTTCCGTCAATGTGACTGCCAATATGCGGGGCGCAGTGCGGTATCTAAAGCTGGGGAGAGGCGGAGAGTGACCATTCTCGCTACTTTTTCATTCTTTGCTTTGATAAAAGGTCAGTTCTCTACTGCATTTTCTTGCATGGCACCAACTTTTGTCTTACGATGCAGTAAAACCATTTCCGGAAATCCGGAAAAAGTATTTAATTAATATTTGTTTGTTTTAACAACACTATGTCGCTTCTTGTAGCTATATCTATACTTGTATCTATGTATGTGGAACACCTTTTTCCGACCATTGCTCATGACTATCAAACCTTGTATTCGATGAGTTAAAAAGTTTTGGCGATTGTAAGGAATAATTAAGAAAACATACGACATTCATTTATAATAATTTCTTATACAGAGCGTGACAGAATCCATGACGAAGTGGTAACGCTCCGTCGTCGAAACGCAGCATTACGACGTATAGTGCGCGGCTCGCTCCCAACTGAGCTACCGCCCATCAAGCCGCCGCAGTATACCGGACCGTACCCCGCAGCCTTTACGTCTACAGTGGAAGACCTGACGAATCCGACACTCCCGAAACTTTAATAAAACTTTCTTTAAAAGTATATATACCTTACACACACGCACTAAGGAATAAGTATACAATACTGTCCTCCTTGGGGTATATCTCGTTCTCTGTCCGAAACTATTAGTCAGATAAGTAATACCCGACCAAAAAAACAATGTCAAGTATGATGCTTCATTTGCATCATGCGTGTTTTAATTTGGTCGAGTCTTACTTATTTGACAGTAATTGTTTCGGACGGAGAACGACAGTTCAGGGTCGTGTCGTAACCAACGCATTTACATTTCCAGTTTCTGTTTTAACAAATTCCCTCTTCAAATTGTGGTTTTATTATTATTAACAAACTTAAATTATAAAACTTATTAACTAAAATTTCTTTAATGGAGACGGTATATTCTATAGAGTTGTTTTGTATTGTTCCTGAAGCCGGAATAGACTAAGGCTCAATTTATATTGCGGCAGAACGGAATGAAAGCGAATTTTTGTAACGATATGTACATACATACCATAATGAACTTTATGGTTAATTGGGTAACTTACTACTAGATACGAGCTAAAATCTTTGAGAACGAACAAAGAAAGCGATCACGCATTCCGCGAGTTATCGCGTAACATACATAAAAAAACAAGTCAAATTAAGAACCTCCTCCTTTTTTGAAGTCGGTTAAAATAATAATAATAACTAAATAAAAATATACAAAAAATCGCTTACAGGGGGTTGTAGATCTCGTTGCTTTGATTCCAGATAAGTTCATAACTCAATTTCGCTAAAAATTTCGATTAAGTTCATACATACATACGTTGTTTATGATAAGAACGGCAGAATACACAACAGTACACCACGCATGTGACATATACACAAAATTATCTTTTCAAAGTCAATGTCACTAAACATTAAAAATCTAAAGAGAAGGTGGAATTATGTATGTACAATATCAAAGGTGCGCTGTATGTACCTCACTGCCACTGCGCCTGTCACCCTGAGATATAACTCGACAAGTCCCATGTGCCTGTAATTTCAGCATCTATACCCTTCAAAACCAGAACGCAGCAATGCTGACATTACTTCTTGGCGGCAGAAATGGGTAAGTAGTGGCAGTACTGCTATTAAATCTATTATAATAAGCCATATTGATTGCATCTAAGTAATGCTCAATTTACATTGAGGCGGAATTAAATAGAAACGCGTTTTTATAACGATATCGTAATGTGTTTTTATAACGGTATTGAAATGTACAACTCACCCTTGACCAAATAATTGACTATGCCATTATAAGTTTATTCAATTAAAAGACAGTTTGATTACTTTAACTAAATCTGTTAACTTATTGTTACCTCTTACAGTAGGAAAGCTAAAGGACTATCCACACATATCTGGGCCGTGCCCAGGCCGTGTCCGGGACGTGGACGGGCCGTGCTCCATCAGGGGCATGTCAAAGTAAATGTATGGAAGAATTTAATGTTAATTTTGGATATTTCTAATTGTTTGCGCTTCTATTCTTGCGGAAGTTCCTTGGAGATGATGAAAACTGCGTGAATTGTGCCTTATACATTATAATTCCGAAAAAAATACATTAATAGTGCTACGATTTTGTGAGAGTTCCTACTATATCTTTCTAATTTGTGAGCAAAGGTAAACGTATAAATTTAAAAACGGATACAGTTCAAAAAACGGCAATTGAATGTTGCCACAGTAAAAAAAAATTGTAACGCCATCTGGTGAGATGGTTGAACACTAATTTTATTTTTTAAAAGTTATTGATGTCCACTTGTTCATTATTAAAGTAAGTACTTTCGATATCAGTTTAAAGTTTTTTGATATCTCTTCTATTCATTGAATAATCGCCTTGTGTACCCCTTAACAATTACACCCTTATAATAAACCACAGACATATATCTAGATCAGGGGTTCCCAAACTTATATTGTGTACTGCCCACTTTGAGAATAAATGATTTTTTAGCGCCCCCATTTTTTCACGTACTTAAAAACCACTATAACTTCAAATTAAAGTAATTATTGTGAGCTATATTAGCGGAGATTAAACATTCATTATAAACGAGACTTTTACTATAACCCGCAAGAGTTAGCTTGAGACCTGAGCGCAGTAGGTAGTACGCAACGGCGCTCAGGTCTCAAGGTATCTCTTACGGGCTACACCTGCCAATGAGAATGATTATTGAAACGCAACTTTATAGTATTCAGATAGAGTATATTTTGTTCAAAATAAAACAAACATAATCGATTCTAATATAAAACTAATGAGAAGGATGAATCTGATGCTGTTTAATAAGTTTGTTGATATCAGGTTCCAATTTACTTAAGAACAGCCGCAAGTCACCACGTTCGGTAACATGCAAACGATTTCTCTTTTTAGTAAGCAGCGTTGTCACAGCACTAAAACCACGTTCACACAAATATGACAATGGGAATACTATCAAGAATCGTTGCACGATTGACCACAATCCAGGGTAAAATTGCGGGATCGGTTTTTGTAGCCAAAATTCTTGGTAGCCTTTTTTGAACTTGATTTTTATTTCCTCGTTCGTTGTTAATTCTATAACTTCTTCCAGCTTAGGTGATATTGCTGTGTTGACATTTGAAAACGGATCCAACACCCAGTCTGGTATTTTCAAGTTCAAAATGTCCTGGTATCTTTCGGTGAAGTCAATGTGGATATTTTCCAAATATTGGCAGTAGGCAAACAAGTCGTCGTTACTGCAGGATACTGATAAATTCGGAAAATTGTAAAACTCACGTCTGCCCGTATTCTTTTTGTGTAGAAGCAGTTTGGTTGCGAAAGCAGCAACAACAATTTTTGTTTTAATTAAATTTAGTTCATCGCCTTGCAGTTGGAGATTCATGTCGTTAAACAATTTATACAGGTCTGTCATGTAAGCTATATCATTCTTTGATGTGATAAGCTTGTTGCGCAATTCTGTATCTTTAGTTTCCAAGCACTCTATCACAGAGTCAAACAGGTTGTAAAACCGAGTCAGATAATTGCCTCTTGATAGCCAACGAACTTCCAGTATGAAACAACAAACGGTTGAAATCTTCATCATTAGTAACACGTAACACAAAGCTGATGAAATAATCTATCATTCAAAGAGCTGTTACGAATTTTATTGTGTGCTTGTATGACTTACTGCAGTGATTGAAATAGTCGTTCACTTAAATTTCTAGCAACCAAATGTTGTCTATGAATAACGCAATGTACAGCAAGGACTTCTGGAATTTAATTTTTTAAGTACGCTATGAAGCCTTTATGGCACCCTGTCATAGCCGGAGCGCCATCCATAGCAACTGATATAATATTTTTCAAGGGAATCTCTTTTTCGTAACAAAACTTTTCCAATGTATTGAATATGGTTTCGCCTTTTGTATCGGTCTCTAAATTTCTAGCAAACAATAGTTCTTCACATATTTTTTCATCTTTAATAAACTTCACGTAAGACAGCAACAATGATTCATTAGTTGGTAAAGTGGACTCATCGAGCTGAATTGAGAATTGACTAGTTCAGATGATTGCACAATGATTCTTCAATGTTTTCAGCCATTCCATCAATTCGTCTTTGCACAGAATTATTACTCAAAGGAATTTTTCGGATATATGCGGCCGGCTTATAAGCACAGTAGTTATTGCTGGCAAAATTAACACTTCTCCGATGTTGTGTGGTTTGCCTTTTTGAGCAATTAACAAAGAGATATTGTACGAAGCTCGAAGTCCAAAGTCATCTTGCTTAGCAGCCGCCAAAAAGAGTTTTGCTACACTTGACTGAGTGTTATGATTCTTCTCTAGGTCTTGAAAATATGCTACATTCTTGTCTTTCTTATCTGGATGGATTTTATTCAAATGATCTTGCAGTCTTGAAGGCGTCATTGCTTCATTCGAAAATGTTTTTGATATAGAAGGCACAAAGGCGACGATGAGTTTGTGGGATTTTCAATGAATCCGAATTTTATATATTCCGCACAGTATTGCCGTCTCTTATTTTTTACTTCCGACATTGTTTTGTTTTGAGAAATACGTAAGTAAGTGTTGAACTTAAGTACTGCTTATCTATTACGCGCGAAACCGTAAATGAAAATAAAATAAATATTACGTTGTTTAAATAGGATTGCATAAGCAGCACGCACCGACAGGAATAAGACAAACATGCATAAACTCGTTTATCTCATTCGACGCTCAATCGTACTCAACAAGTAAGAACAAGTATTCTACGAACCAACCGATTGATACAGGAATGCACAAATCGCGTTATTTAACAAAAACTTGTTAAAACATGATTGCCCGCGGTCTATTGTCTATGAAAATTAGCTATCTAGGAATACTAATAACTATTAAAATGCGAAACTGTCTGTTGCCTTTTTATTTTTTGTTTTGTTTGTGTCTACTTTCATTTCGAAACGGAGCAACCGATTGACATGATTTTTATTTTATTTATTCAATAAAACAGGACAGATATATGAACTACACGGAGAGAAATATCGAACCGAGTTAGTTTGAGCAATCTCTTAATTATTATTAGTTGAAGTTGTAGTCGAGAGTCGAGAGCTCAGTCGATGTCTAAGGTTCGCATTCCAGAACTCTACGCAATGCTCAAGTCAAAATTTGAGTATGATTTAAAGTACTGAAAATCATACTCAAGTCCTTGCCATTAGGGTCGTATTTCCAGTGCTTGAAATCATACTCAAGTCTGCTCAAGTCCTGACATGAGCATTGAGTAGAGTCCTGGAATACGACCCTAGGATTGGGTGCATGCAATTTAAAAAAAAATTTGCATTTTTTGGTTTGGATACAGTGTTACAGTTACAATCAATATTGTGAAAATTTCGTACAAATGCATACGAGGTTCGGAGTTGGCTCGTATCTCGTACGGAGAATCTAATCTAGACTGATCTAGCCAGTGGGATTATTTTTCCCATTGTCCAGATTGATTTGACAGCTGGCGACACTGGCTGGCGATAGTACTAGTTAAGTAGTCTGTGGATAGTACGTTGTAACGATAGATTTAGTTTGTCTATGGTTGTAACCATGTGCGGTATTGTATAAACTTCTTCACGATAAATTTACACCCCATTTTTTTCTGGGTCTCTTACCGCCTGCCAGGCCTGCAGCGCCCACAAGAGGGCGTTATTGTTCACTTTGGGAAAGGCTGATCTAGATAGACGCCGCAAGTACAGCAATTTGTATGAAAACTTTTTTTTTAAGGGTATTTTGCAGTTGGCCGTTCATGGCCTTGACTGCGCCACCGGATTAAAGGGCGAGCTGAAGGCTCATAACCCGTAAATAAACTTAAACTAAGTAGCGGGCCTGAGGGCGCCCAAGTGGGCACGGACCTCGGCTCAGGGCGCTGCTGGACACTTCCGCCAGAAGGGCATGCTGTAGGGGAGAATCTACCAGTGTACGTGCTGAGACGAGGGGCTCTGCGACCTCGCCGGCGAGGACGGTTGGTGCGAGATGAGATGGACTGATTAGCGATCTGGTTGACCTTTAAAGTGGCGAGAGTGATAGGGTCGTCAGGGTCGTTGAGGACTTCCCTTGGCCGACGGGTCCTACGTACGCGGTGGGGGTATTCCCTGAGGGGGTCGTAGTTGGATGCAGCCACCACGAGGGGGTTTAGGTGGTGAGGAGCAGAGTCGAAGTATTTCCTCGATGCCTGTTTCATGAATTAGCCTATTGTGTGGAGCCGTAAATCTATGTGGAGGTTAGCGTTGCGCAGGTACCACGGGGCCCCCGTCGCGTTGCGCATGAATCTATTTTGGAGAGCCTGCAGGCGGTGTATACGCGCGGGATTTGCCTGAGCGAATGCGACGCTGGCGTACGTCATGATTGGGCGAATGCAGGTCGTGTACAATCTCACCTTATTACGAGGGGAGAGTGTGCTATGCTTGTTAAGAAGGGAGTGGAGCTGGCTTATAACAAAGTGGGCGCGATCGCGAACAGTTTTCACGTGTGCTGTATGAAAACCAAGCGTGCCACATTTTTTGTACCTAGTATGACGTCACAAGAACAATTTAGTGATGGAAACGTCCTTCCGCTCGCTCTAAATCGATTATTGATTGAACGGAATACGCGTAAACACGCGTATTCCATTAAATAAATGGACTAAATAAATCATTAAGAACAATTATGCATTTTTCGCGTTTTCGATTGGTGTTGTTATCTATGATAACGGTCGAGCGCGTTCTGAAGTGTAGCAGCTGCAACTAAGTGTATTTCACTTACATTGGGCACGCGAAGTACGTACACTTGCGGCGTCTATCTAGATATATGTCTGTGTAATAAACCCTTATCATTTTAGTCATTGTCTTAGCTAATTTCCTTCCAGCAAAAGCTCATTACATAAAAAAAGACTACATGTGACATTGACATTTGCTTATAACTGGCAAATAGATGTCATTGTCAATGTAACAACAAACCAAATTCAATATTCCATAGATTTGTGACGTGTGAGTTGTGACGGATTAATCCCTGCCAATCCTCGTCGAAGTACAGTTAATGTTAAAAAATTTTTGTACGTAAATTTGTATGTGTACCTGAACAATTCATTCATTACTGTATAATAAGAAAATCATAAATAATTTTTGGAATATTTTGGTGAGTAACATTCTACTTTTCGATTTTCAAATTAAAGTTCTGATCGATTTAATAAACCAATTTTCAAATTTTTTACCGTTTAGTTCGATTACATACTTTTAATATCTTGATAAAAAATTGCAGAGTATACATTTCGCTGAGGTAGTGTTATTATTTCCAATCCCCAACCCTAAATTTGTGTTTTTCTAGGTAAACTTGACGTGAAAGTAAAAATGTTGAAGCCTTTATTTCACCTAATCAGCTTTCTCCAATTTTTCTTCGGCTGCTATTATGACTTTATGTACGTGCAAGTGCCTAGCGCATCCACCCACACTCCAGATTTTGGGTCCAAGTTCAAATATCTGACCTATATAAATGCTGTAAGTTTTTAAAAGTTATTTCTAGAATATAACTTATTCCAAAAGTTACCATCATGTGTTGGCATAGCAAACTATTATTGTGCTATAGATAGTAGTGGTTAGTAAAGTTGTAACTAAAACATTGTTGCAGATGCTTCAAACAACATACTATGCAGTGGCTTTGTTGAATGACTTTATAGGAACCAATGAGCCAACTCCAACACAGAAGCCATTAATTCGTCAAATAAAGGATTTAATGTTCAGTGCTCTGGCGTTCCCTCTGTCAATGTTTGTTGGACTCAGTTTTTGGGGAATATATGCTGTGGATCGGGAATTAATCCTGCCAAAGAGTTTTGACCCATATTTTCCTACATGGTTAAATCATGTTATGCATACCAACATCCTGTTTTTCATATTCGCTGAACTAATTATTACATTCAGAATGTATCCTCAAAGGAACCAAGGACTTGCCATTCTATCCGCATTTATGTTGGCCTACATGATTTGGGTGCACTACATCTACTTCCACACTGGAGGCTGGGTGTACCCTATCTTGTCTGTTTTGAATTGGCCTCTTCGAATTACGTTCTATATATTTAGCCTTGGTTTAGTAAGTGGCCTTTATACTTTAGGTGAAACCTTAAATAAAACTATTTGGTCTAAAGAAGTAGAGAAACAAGTCAAATCGGGCAAGAAAAAAGCCCAATAGAATTTATTTTATCTAAGTATTGAAGGTTGTTAGCTAATTATAGAATTCTGGTGAATGGTTATGAAGTTAGGTAATTTATGAACAGTATAGATAACACTTGTGTGGTTATTCACCCAAGGCTTATGACTAGTTAGATGTTTCTTAGCATGCTATGACACTATTTCTGATATTTCAGAGCTGTTACATGCTCCAATGTTACAGGTTGCTTGGCAAGGTGAGGGCGACTACCCTCATTTAAATTCCTGTAGCATTATCATTGTCATTCACTTTTTCCTGACACCTGGACAAATTTTGGAAACTAAACAATTTTATAAAAACTGCTCTGAAATGCCAAGAAAAGATTAAAAAGGCGTATAGTGTAGTAAGGAACCTGTAACCAGTGACCATAATTTAATCTGTGAACAAGTTTTTGCTAACATTTTCTTCTATAGAACCTGAAATAGGTATTTTGTTATATAGTAATTAGGTGTGTTTTAATCTTGATATCAAATAAAGATATCTTCTTTGTCTTACAAATCTGCAATAATTTATTGTAATTATGTGAAATGTAAAACACAATAGTATTCTGGATTCAAGAACCAATTCAAGAAAAGCAATATATTATTATTTGACTTCAAAATTTCCATTTAGAAAAAAAGGTTTACTGATAGTAGCCAGGTTCGCAAAGTAGTATAATGCGTATTAAGTAGCCACGTAAGCTAAGTTTGTTGTCCCATTTTAAATTGCAAACATAATATAATACCAGTGCCTGTAATGATCATATTAAAATGCACTGCCATGCAGTTTAGACTTTGCCCATTGAATGTTAGCCTAAATAAAATAGGAGATAAAATAATATAATATAATTAGAATCAATGGCTCCTAAACAACTTTAAGTAAATCGTGTTACATTCCAATGTGCTCTATTTAAAAATAAATAATCTGGAATAATAGAGGCTAGAAAATTTTAATGTATTGTGTATTCAGGCAATAAATATATTAAATCAGGGAGTTTAACTGTCACCATAAATGATTAAAATGATCTATAATAAGGTTATCGAAGATACGTAATTGCTAAATTAATGCAAAGTAACGATTACTGTTTTGATATAGGCATATCTTGTGTAATAATGAGATAGTGATGTTATGTATTTCGAATATGTTTATCATTTCCTTGTAAGGGTTATTATAAAATGACACTGCATCTTTAGACGGAAATATATAGTCGATGTCCTAAGATACTTGACCCGCTAACCGATTATTTAGTTCTGAGTGAGATATCAGTGTAAAAAAAGGTGTTAAACACACTAAAATATGATTTCTTTATTGCATATTTAGTGAATTACAGATCAAATTGGCTTAAAATGTTTTAATTACATTACGTAAATACAAATTTCAACCAAAAAGCTGTAATAATTCCTTTAACACTTTTCCGTTGAAAGCGTAAGAAGGCTCTTAGGACCAAACGGTTGGCTAGGCGGTCAGCAGCTTGATTTTTATTGCCTTTCCCGATGGGAAACTGCGTCTTTTCAGAGCCGAGGCGTATAATATTGCGGATGGACTACCTGATCGGATCGATTCCGATTTTAATTAAAATCAAGGCGCAGGTATCTTATGGCATCGAATGTATTAGCGCGCTAGTAAATAAGAGGTGAAAATGTATTATTAAAATCCACCCAACGATTCTTAAATAGGGTTGATTCTGTTAAGGTCTAAAAATAATGTCCCTATTACAGTAGTTACAAGTAAAAAGAAGGCTATAATATTAGTACCTACTGCCTTTTATAGTTTGTTATAATAGGCAAGTTCACTGTACAGCTTTATTTTCATACTTAAACATATACAGGGTGTATATTTGAGACGGGGCAACAAGCTCAGCTACCTTAATCGTTGTAGTTACAGGAAAACGGTTCTAGAAGACTATCCATGAATTTTGAAGATATTTTGATTGGCATTCACAGATTTTGAAAAAATGGTACAGTCAGCAAGATAGAAGGCAATTTATACAAAACCTTTTTTTTATGCCATTCGATCCGGTCTCTGGTGAGGATCAATAGTCTCTATGGGACAAACTGAGGTAAGAGTACTCGAAATGTCAGAAATCGCAAAAAAACCTTTTATCACACATTTTATATGAAAAGTTTTTGTTAGAAACGAAACTGGCCACTACTCTACGAACAAGACTTAAGTAAAACCAAATTATAATCATATCACTATTTTTTAAATTTGGAACAGCTTTGTTTTGTTTTGTTAATAGAGAATTGTCACTTTTAAGACAATTTTTAATTAAAATGTTCTCAAGTGTGGAAACAAATGAATTGGAACACATGGTCCTATAAAACGGCCACCGCGCAGTCCTGATCTGACGCCCCTTGATTTTTTTCTTTGGGGTTATGTAAAAAACTAAATTTATTAAAAAAACACAACAGTGTTCAAGAATTGAAAGACGCACTTGCAGTAATTTTCAATGGAATCCATCAGAGTAGAATTTCAGCCGCTACTTGGTCTTTATTTTATTTATTTAAACTTAATTGCACACAAAATAGTACAAATGGCGGACTGGAACGCATTCTCTACCAGTCAACTGGAGAGCTATGCTCAAAATAATTAACAGGGGTGCATAACATGATAATTAAAACAAATAGGAAGAAGTTTATAAATAATTATGATATATAGTTTAAACACAATATAAATATAGCACATAATATTATATGACTAACTATATACTTATATAAGCAACCTATATATACATATATACATAATATATAATACATACACATATATTTAATATACATATTTATATGTATATAACAATGTCAGACGAATGGTATGTAGATTGAGACTCTAATATGAAATCACGGACTAATTGCTTGAAAGCTAGTTTATTCGGCGCTTTTTGAATATGGGGCGGTAGAGCGTTCCAGAGTCGTATTGCCTGAAGAGTAAATGAGTTAGAAAGAAAACCAGTACGGTGAGAAGGAATTAAAAGAGTCAATTTGCTGTCTGAGCGAAGATTGCGATTATGGGTGCACCCAAATATTGAAATTTACATTTCAAATGTCCAGGTGCACATTTATCATTAATGATATAGTAAAGAGTGGAAAGTATTCTCAAATCACGACCCTGGTGAATCGTAAGTCACTTCAGCTCATTGCGACATGCGGACACGTGATCAAATTTTCGAAATCCATAAATAAATCGAATGTAACTATTGAGCAAGCGATCCAATTTGTTGAGAAGTTCTCTCTTTGCGGAATAACTACCTAGAATAACCGATTACTAAATATGTCCCTACAAAATGTATGGTAAAAAGTTTTTACCGATTTCTGACATTTCGAGTACTCTTACCTCAGTTGGTCCCATAGAGACTATTGATCCTCACCAGGGACCGGGTCGAATGGCATAAAAAAAGGTTTTGTAAAAATTGCCTTTTATCTTGCTCACTGTGCCATTTTTTCAAAATCTGTGAGTGCCAATCAAAATATCTATGAACAGTCTTCGAGAACCGTTTTCCTGTAACTAGAAAGATTAAGGTAGCTGGCCTTGCTGCCCCGTCTCAAATATACACCCTGTATACTTACTTCATTTACCCAATTGAATTTTTTGCATTATGCAGCTAAATGTAATGGCAACTAATTTATATGTATTTGTGTGAGGGGTCTATCTAATTTTGTTTTTAATTAAAAAGTCTAAAATAACTTTAGTGATTACGGCTTTGTAACTGTTGGTTGATAGAAGGAACTTAAATTGTTGCCTACTAGCGTATTTATTGTACAATATAATTCCATTTTTACCGTGCAAATTAGCAAGCAATAATTTTTCTAAATAAAATGTTATTAAATGAACTAAGACGTTTCATTTAATTGTTCATAATTTCCTAATTTTTTTAAACGTTCACTTTTTGGAGTGTATGTAACGATTGCATACAGTAACAAGTACAGCTTCTTTCAAAAAAAGGTTGACAGCGCACTTTCTTGCTGAATTCTCTTTGTAATCATCGTTTATTTTTTCACTAATTACGTATGTGTACCTATATAATACTTATGTAAGTAATGGTACTTTTATTTTTGTTATCTTTATCTAGTTAATTATATTTCTTTCTCAGTCCCTCTTGCACGTTGTTGTCCGCTTATAACCTTAGCTCTCACTGCCCTGGGTTGGTTGGAAGATATCTAAGTGTGTGCAGGCGATTACTCCATAAATATAAGCGATATCAAAAAGCTTTAAACTACTATCGAAAGTACGTTACCTAAAGAGTAAATCGAGATCAATAGCTTTTTAAAAATACAACTAGAAATATCCAAAATTTTAACATTAAACGCTCACACATTTAACATCATTCGTAAAGAGGCTTTACTTTTCTTACTGTAGAGGTAATAATAAGTTAACAGATAACAAAAGTATTAAAGTAGGTGATTAAAATAACTTAATGGAATAAAAATATAATGGCATAGTCAATTATTTGGTCAAGTGTGAGTTGTCCATAAAATGCCATTATATTTCTATTCAATTAAAAGTGTAATTTTCAGGTAAGTTTTTTGTACTAAATTTTGGTGACAATTTGTTTTTATTTCAATATTTATAAAATATCATCATGAAGTACATATTATTTAATATTCGAGTGTGGGAACCTGAAATATTCTTTAATATTCACGATTAAATAATAAAAATAGTTTCTTTTTTATAAAAAATTGTCACCAAAATTGAGTACAAAAAACTTACCTGAAAATTATCCTGGTGTCGATGTATTCATTAGGTAACATACTTTCGAAATCAGTTTAAAGCTTTTTGATATCTCTTATATTTATGGAATAATCGCCTGGGCACACTTAACGATTACACCCTGTATATAACAATTGTACAAAATTGAGTGCAATAATTGAATTGTTCCTCTTGGCACAAATGATTTACCTTTCTGGTGGATAAATTAATGTTATAATATAATAAATAAATTTCTTAGTCGTCTCCCTTTTCTTAATTCGAACTACGAATTTATGTGCAACTAACTAAAGGGAAATGATTAAATTAAACAATGTTTAAAAGCGTACATTTTTTAAATATAAAACTAAACAAAATTGTCATACTTTTAAAGTAGGTACCTGGACAAAATATTTACTAAACACCAAAATCACAGTACAAATCAGGAATAACCCAAATCGTAATTAAATTATGTAAGCCTACGTAATACGACTAGATTTCAATCAATTAATACCTATTATTCTTTATGTCTCAATTTACATTGCGGCGGAACAGAATGGAAGCGAATTTTTGTAACGATATTTACATAGCGTAATGAACTTTATGGTCAATAGTGTAACGTACAAACTAGCTATGAGCCAAAAATGAATTCGCGAGAATTCCGCAGTTGTCATCGCGACGCTTGGCGTATCCGCGGGAAGTGGCGCGAAGGTAGGCGCAGTGTGACGTCAAACCACGACGAAACACAACCCCAAGGCACAGTCGCGCGAATGCTCGAGCATTGTAGCGGCCGCGCGCGCCTTCTCGCGTAGTGAGGCGAAATTGACGCTTCCATTCCGCCACAATATATATATTGTGCCTATTAATTAGTTTATACAACAAAAAACGGATAAGACTGCTGTACATACAATAAGGGCGGACTACGCAAATTTCATAATCGCAACCATATCAAATTATATGTACATTAGGTCCATTATACACTAAAGCGATGAAAAGGTTACTATTTTATAAACCTGTTATGATTTAATTTTTATGACGTGCTGATCGAAATAAAAACATTATTCGTATGAAATCATTGCATTTTCTCTCCATTTTGGTGAATAATGGGCGTTAGAAGGGGTACTGGAAATTGTAGTGTAAGCCTTAATGGTTTAACAAGGTATTCATAGGTTTAATTGGTAGGTCAATAGGTTTAATGCAAGAACATCATTTTCAATGTAAATCGTTCAACCTCTGCACGCAAACTGCAATAAGCAAAATTATGGTCCTTGTCGAATTTATACAGGACACTGATTATTAAATAAAAGTGATAGCTATATCAGAGTTTATATTCGGTAGTTTTGTTACGAATAAACTACCTTTCTTTAAAGGTGCAAATTGAAAATTACACTACATGTAGGAAAACTGAAACCAAAAGTAAAGTTACACAATAAACAAGTAAATACCGCATTATTTAACTACTTTGTAAATATTACACAAATATTTATTAACAAATTTTCTTAAGTCTAGATACGTCATAAGTACTGGGCGTTCACTGATTTCTATTGCCCATAGTGAAATTGAATTGTTACAGTTCCAATCAAGTTTAGTTTGAAGGGCGAAATCCCTTATATGACTTAGCAGTTTTGTGTTGTTAATAGATAAAAAAAATATTTACACACAAAAGGTGTATTTATCAAAACAATTTAAATTAACGAAGATCGATGGACAATAAGCCTCTACAAAATAGAAATGCTGATACGTTATAAGCAGACTTTAAATTATGAGATAAAGCTTTTAAACAGACAACGTATAAATTTGCGTGTAATGACCAAGGTCGATGTTTGCGTTCGACAAGTTGTGTATCTAAGGGTCGTATTCTAGAACTCTACTCAATGCTCAAGTCAGGATTTGAGTATGGTTTAAAGCACTCGAAATCATACTCAAGTCCCTGCCATTAGGGTCGTATTTCCAGTGCTTGTGTTTCAATTGCAATCCTGACTTGAGCATTGAGTAGAGTTCCAGAATACGACCCTAAGTGTAACAAAATTACACATGAGCAATTATGCTCACTAACAAAATGGGACAGAAGTACAGAAACGAGTTTTACGCTCGTAGTTGCGTCGAATTAGCGCCCAGTTACACGAGGCGAAAATTTTCGCGTCCAGTTACCACGCCTTCACGTACATTAATGGCGAATCTGAATTCTATTTACTAGGCAACAACATTTAAATTCCTCTGAATAATAAAACCACGCGGTCGCCGCCCGGCCGTCGAGCGCTCGATGAGTAGAGTCAGACTCGCCCGCGACGCTCATTTAAGTTAAAACGTAAAAGATAAATAAATAGAGCGTATTTTGCCGTGACTGTTACAAACACGCGGTCGCTGCGCAGCGGCCATGCGAACTCCGCTCATCGACTGTGACCGCGCAGGGTGAGCGCGGTGAAATTCGTGTCGAATAAATGCGCCCTAAAGGCATAAAGCACAATTAGTCTGATGCGCGGGATTCCGCGTATGTAGAAGATGGGTTCTCAGAAGTCATATATCTTAATTCGCGACACACTTGTTTCACCCATTGCAAGCGTATCGCGTGTGTTGTGTGTAAGTTTACATTCGAGGGCTGCCATTTTGCCCGCAGATCCCCGGATGGTTACTAGTAGCAATGGCACAAGGCCGACTTTTCGAATACCTTTATTTTTTTCCATCCTCTAAATAAGGGTTAACTAGATGTGGAATCAGTGAAATCTCCTTGTAACAAAACATCATAATAATGTGACGTGCATCACATCTGTCTTCTACCATGTTTTGTAATATGCACTACTAAAAAATTTACTAGGGATCCAACATGTGAGAATCCATATGTAATTGATATCTAGAAACTTTTGATGAGTGTATTTAACAATTTTGTATGGCATATTAATTGTACTTCGCCCCTCAACTCTGAGATAAAATCAAAGTCAAAAAATGTAAACAAAGGTAATGCCATTACAAAAAATGTTCTACGAATAGTGGGACAGTGTAAAGGGCTAAAAATTAATGCTAGATTAATGCGAGATAATGTTATATTGTTTTAAAATGGTGCGCAGGTACAAACAAAATATTACCAAATCATATTTTTTATTTAAAACACCATATTTAATAAGATAATCTTAAAAAAATGTTTCTCGCGGAAAGATTTTTTAACTTATTGGCAATGTTTCGGGGATGAACAACCTTTGCTTGTCCTTAGTGTTTATTCGATTTTTTATTTTAATTTGTCATTTATAAACACAAATACTTATAAGCAGAAGTGTGAATAATTAATTGCTACAATACTATTACTTAAATAATTATTAAATCAAATGTTTTTTTATTGAGAATTAAAATAATAAATTGGATAATTGTTAAATAGTGTTAAATTATAATAAACTGAAAAATGATAAGTCAGTTTTTGGTCAATAGGGATGAATAATGGGTTAAGTCGTCGGGTTGCATCCCCACCAGTGCATCGCCGCTATTTTCTTCATTCGGTCTCTGACGGCTGTCGTTATCGAATGTGTCCCTTGCTGTGTATGCGTCGTGTTGTTGAGTTTTTGTTTTTTATTGTTGAGTTTTCGTTTTGTGTTTTTTTTTTGTTAAGGTTTTGTTTTATTGTTGTTATGTTTGTGTGAACATAACTACAATGGAGGCTGACCCAGATCCTTCAACAAAAAAGACACTCTTTCACCGTAGAAAAAAAGACCACTATATTTATGACACAAAATGTTTTTAAACAGTTTTGTAAATTGTTCAACCCAAAAAGGTATTATTCAATTATTAAATATTTATTAGTCAGAATAAGTGGAACCTGTTAATAAACGAACGTGGAAAAAAAGGTTTATGGTCTATGAGATGTCACTTTGACAGTGACAGTGGTTTGTTTACATTTTTTGACTTCAAGTACATCTCAGAGTTTGTATTGTATTTCTACACAAAACATTTTACGCGTAGTGGTAGATGTGATGTCACCCTTATTTGGTTATTTGCACATTTATGGTGTCTGCCCAAATTATAGGGCACTGTTCATTTGCAGACATGTCGGTTAAATAATTGAGTTACGCATAGTTAGCGCAAAATGGAAATAAATAATGATAAAGTCCCTTACGAATTTTCTGTAAATAACTTATATGTAAATTTACGTACATACACTCTTCTTTAAATTCTAACTACATTCAACGATAACTAACATTATACAACTGTACAAAAACATTATTTATTTCATTGATGTCTTGATATTATATTCTTATTATGCGTTCATCAACCTATATAAATCCCACAGCTGGGCACGTGTAAATGCATAATTATAATATTTAGCTTAATTGAATCTATTACATATGAATAGAAATAAAAAATTCTGGTCAACAATAAAAATACGTAGATAAATAATAACATAAAATTCCTATAAAACAAAATTAAAAACACAATAAAAGGTTTGCGCGAGTAAAGCTTTATATACACACACTTCAACACAGTTTAGGGATCAAACTAGTGATATATTGTTTACATATAATAATTACATAATAACTTTAAAAAAAAGACCTCAAAATCTTATCCCCTTTCGTTAACGCAGTTTCCTCAGCGATAACCTAAACGCATGTCCTCGTTAAAAATGAGTCATATGGGCCGAAACACAAGGTAGTTGTTGTACATTGTTGAGAAGTTCATCGCAACTGCCTTTCCATCATAAGATCAGCCATAGGACATAACATTTTATTTTCATTAGAGTTTAAACATTTTGTTGAACACAGAACTCACATGTAGAGCATATTCACAGATAAATATTTCTTGATTTCTTACTCATTCATTTCTTTAATTTTTAATTTTTTCATTAAATTGTCCTAATGAATAATAACGCCCACACACTCATAGCCCCGCACTAGGGTAACCCTGTATTGCGGGTGCCATGGACACACACAGACAACCACAAATCACATTCAAACTCACGAGAGAAATAAACTTTTAAAATGGTGTGCAGGTACAAACAAAATATTACCAAATCATATATGACAAATATGAATCATATTTGACAGATCAAACGAAAAAAATTTCAAAATAACGTTTGTAATACGATATTGCCAGCCACAGTTCGGGCAGAAGACAGCCTAGTGTCGCGTGACCGCTGACTGGCTGGTATTACCAGTTCATAATACGAAGTTACAAGGCAGTTTACGGCGTAAACTGCGTGGAAATAAGAGTTCATACTAGCCCCCCCTGGGTACTAAAACGTGTCGGATGCGAAAAATAAAATAATAGTAAATTATGCCAAAAATATTATACATATTCTAGAGTTGTATTATGTAGATTACGAAGCAAGTGTGATCATAGGTTTCGTGCCTGCAATTTGTTAAAGTGTGCACAAATACAACACCATTTAGGTACACAAGCACATTCCTCGATATTATAAACTTTCTTAGATACTAACGTATGACACTGTTAGACTATGTAGTCCTTACACTTTTAATAAATTACAAAACAGCTGTTTTTGAACAGAAAAACCGTCATTATATGTAAAATCTGCATGCATTATTATTATATATCATCTCATTTAAAACTCTGCATGCTGCAGGTATGAAATGACACAGCCTTCAACAAGTCAACTTCGCATTAAATATTTACTTGTAAGTCAATGTTTCGTCTAAGAAGTAACTTGCAAATGCGAACGCGCCCTTGGCCTCATAAAAAAATTACGGCACGAATTACTCTATGGTATGTAATTTTAAATAAACTTTATATTATGTGAAGTGAGATCCCATTTAATAAATAGGTAAGTATATGAAAAATCTACATTAATAGTACCAATTTAGCCTTAATAATAGTCTATTGTTTGGAGAAAAATCAGTATTACTATGATTGCATTTATAAGTACCTAACTTAATGTAACTATTGTTCAAAATCTCACTGCTGTAATTAACCACGATTAGCTCCCAGCCCATTGTATTAATTCATTTCAAGAGCAATTATGTTTGAACAAAAACAAATACAGCCAGGTCCATACATTTCAAGTGCCTTCTGGTCACGACACTGAATAATATTAAGTATAAGTAGCATCTATGGAAAACTATATTTGGTAACATGTTTAAGCATCGCACCAGGCTATATGAGATTGGCGGACAAAAAGTGGATAAATTTCATTGGATCGTCACTTGTCAAATCGCATCATTTCGCTCGCTAACATGTGGTCTTTGTAATAATTTCAGTCGCGTTTTTTCCGTTATTTTACTACTTTTCCTTACTCATATTTCGTAATTTTTATTATGTCGTTTAGTGCTAGTTTTGTCCTTACTTATATTCCGTCATTTTTATTATCTTGTATTTTAATTGAATTTCAAGATGTTTTACCACCGTGATATTCATATATTTTTTTGTGAAATAAGTCCACTACTTTGTTATAATTATTAACACAAAGAAAAATTCCTTCGACCCGACAGGACTTGAATCTGCGACCACGATGTACCGTAGCGTCGCTCTGCAAACTGAGCTACAGGTCACGTTATCAGGTCGACGATATTCTTCTATGCCTGTTATAGATCTTTGTATTGGGTTTTTGGCTTTCAACGCCGTAAGCGACACCTTGTGAGAGATTTATGAACCATCTCACTCAACCGGTACTTTAACTGCTACCACAAGAGGACGTTAATGTCGCTTTATGAAATGTCTTTAATGTTATATTATGTTATTTAGCCTTCATTTTGTCCTTACTTATATTTTGTAATTTTTGTTAGTGTCTTTAGCCTCATTAGATACAATCGTATATGTCATTTAGTATCGGCGCTATATAGAAGCATGCTGACATATTTAGCATCCTTATAGAGCTGAACAATTACATTCTACAGCAAATTGTTGTCCCGTACTACGTTTTGACCTTGCGGTTGCTTTTGTAATGGCCGTTCTTCTTCCAACCGTTGCCCTGCGGAGCGCCGCCGTTCATCACACGCGTGAATGAGGTAGTCTTGTTTTTAGACTCGAATAACACGTCTGAATCCGTCTCGGTATCTGATATTTCTTTGTTTGCAACTGTAACAGAATTAGTAGGCTAGTTACGATGCTCTTCTTCTACACTCAAATCATGCGGGTATAGTTGGCATTGCTTTCCTTTTACAGTTTTTAATTAAAAAAAATTAATTCCAATATTTTAAAAAACCTATTGAGCAGGACAATGTACTTTTAGTTTCTGAGTTCCACGGCAATGTGAACATGTAAATAGATTCATGTTCACGATCACTTATTCACTGAACTACCGGATAACTCATGTTAAGGCGATTTTTGCTCGAGATGTTTCGAACCAGTCCGTGGACCTTATACGAGGCCATACACGCTACGATATTCCGGGGAGGTCTACCTATGCAGGCAGACCGGAACGTGAGTTGGAACAGACGCATGCAGTTTTTTGAAGCTGCGCAGACGACCGGCGCAAAATCGAAAATCAATTCTTTTAAGTGATACTGTATGGTGAACATGTGCAAGTGTGCGTGTCTACGGTCGCCTGCGCAGATCGCGCCATTTGATTTTTAGTTACGGTATAGAGTAGTCCTCGTTCGCATCGTACTGCACTGTGTAACAAACAATGACAACATCCGATTCAAGTAATAAGAAAATACTTAAGAAATTATCGCATCGTCGTCGTCTTCAATCGATGCCATACCGAAATTAACTGAAGGCCTCTCCGGTCCCACATACGCTACGACAAGCGGCCTACCTGCGCAAGAATGCCTGCAATGGAGGGTCTACCATAACCTTTCAAAAAACAATCTTATTTCATGTAAGCTTAAAGTAAGCTTATTATAATAATATTACTCATATTCGTACAGTCAAGAGCAAGTCAAGCTTAATACTTTGTACTTTGGACCGTTTTTATCGCAAGAGACATAGAGTTGGATTTAAATCTTAAGTGTCAAGCTTGACGTGCTCTTAACTCTATACCATGACAAACCTATCAACCAAGTAATGTATTATTGCTAAAGTGACTGAAATAACGAATGATTTTCCAATATTGTCTATTATTTACTAAAAATCGAAAAAGAAATGACTTTATATGAACTGTAAAATGTCATCTCTTTCTTTTTTGATGTTCCGAATCGTCCTATCGTAGTATAATGTTAAAGTACTTAATAATAGGGGTTAAAGTATGAAATTGCCGATTTGTACTGAAAATCTAAATTGTTTATTTTTAAATTTTTAACAAATTTATTTAATCAAAATAGTTGCCATTATTATCTATACATTGCTGCCATCTAATGGGAAGGTTATTAATGCCTTTGCAATAGAACTCCGACGATCTAGACTGCACAAACTGTGTGAAAGCATTTTGTACTGCCTCCTGGGAAGAAAACTTCTTGTCACGTAGATAATTGTCCAAATCACGAAAAAAATGGTAGTCCGTTGGAGCAAGGTCTGGTGAATACGGAGGATGACGAATGGTTTCTAACTGCAGTTCCTGAAGGGTCAAAATGGTTTCTCGTGCTGTGTGAGGTCTCGCGTTGTCGTGGAGCAATAATGGTGAAGATCGATTCATGAGTCGGGGCTGTTTTACTGCTAGTTTTGTCAACATGGTTCGGAGTTGGGCACAATAGACATCTGCCGTTATTGCTTGACCAGATCGGAGAAAACTATAGTGAATAACACCATAAAGAATCCACTTTTCATCACATGTTACAATTCGATCCAATATTCCTTCATTTCTGTACCGGTTCAACAAGGCAACACAAGTTTCAACACGCGTTTCTTTCTGCAGATCAGTCAAATCATGAGGCACCCATTTTTCGTATTTTTTTATTTTATTGATTTGACGCAAGTGAGTCAATATTGTGGGTAAGGTAACGTTAAACCATGCCGCTAATTCCTGGGTAGTTTGACTAGGATCGGCTTCCACTATCTCTCTTAATTCATCGTTATTCACCTGTGTGGGCGGTCTTCCTCGTGGCTCGTTCTGTAAGTCGAAATTTCCATCACGAAAGCGTTTAAACCAAAATCGCACGGTGCGTTCATTAGTAGACCCCTCTCCAAACGCAGCATTGATATTGCGGGCTGTTTCTGCCGCGTTAGTTCCGCGTCGGAACTCGTATTCAAAAATCACTCGAATTTTCGCAGTATCCAATCTTTCTTGTCTAAATTGAATAACAAAAACAATTGAAAGTCGATATTCAAATGTTTCAAATTAAAAAAAAAAAATCACAGAAACCATTTGAAAAAAGTTTCATTCGAAAACCATGAAGATTCTATGAAAATTCAAAGAACCTATTGCAATAAAACGGCAATTTCATACTTTAACCCCTAATATTATTTACATTCAGAGAACTTTAACTGCCAAAAAAAGAAAAGTATGTAATAATGAAATCTATTAAAATTACGTTGTTTTTAATTATTTTTGCGTATTTTCATATAGAAAAATAATCGAGTATTTAACCAGAAATTGAGACGAAATGTCATTTAATTTGTTTGAAAACTATTCTGCCATATTCATTACTGTGACAACTGCGCTCCGATTGGCTAGCCCGAGTTCGAAACAATTGACGGGTGTCGTCAACTGTTTCACTTATAATCGACCAGTTAACTTGAACTTTGCTATAATGGACGAAACTTGCAAAATTACATATTTAATATTTAATTACCGATGATATGTGATTCCGTTTGTTTTGTAATTAGATGTTTTGCTGTTTTTCCCACACCATCGAATAGAACAGCACGGCATTGTTAGAGATTATCTTTATTACAATAAATTCAGAATATTTTTTTAAATATACGGAGACGTACACACAGGTCAGTAGTTGGCCTGTCTATATTTCAGTGCAAACGGGAGATAATATTTATAAGAGCTGTATCGCTAATGTGTACCAGGTATATATGGCCCTTATTTCGTCTCTATTTGTGGTTATATACTCGATGAGAAAAATAAATAAAACAAGCGGAGTCTTGATTGTCACGTTGTGAATTCGGAATTATAGTCGTGTTAGTGTCGCCAAGGAGCACATAAATGTTGCTGTCATAATTTTACAAAATAAACATTGCGCATTATATATATATATTTAACGAAAAATTATTTCCTATGTACTATTAAATAACAAAATATTGAAGAGATATATGTAAAAAAAGTTCAACTTAACTTTTAATCATTACAAATCAATATTAGGACCATAAATTCGAAAATAATATTGTTTCCATTGCATCCGTGAACTACTTTAAGATAGCTAAATTTGACATAAAAACAATATTTCGTTAATGTTAAAGTAGCGTCATTGTACGAACTGAGTGAATGAATAGTCACAAAGCTCCCAATAAAACCTCGTAGTTTTAACATTATAATAAGCTTACTTTAAGCGCGTCATAGTACGAAAAGTCAATGTAATGTTAAAGTAATATTGTTTTAATAGGTTGTGGTAGGCACCCTGGTAGAACTCTCCGGTATACCGTAGCGTGTATGGCCGGCATTAATTCTTCATGCTTCAGCGACGGTGACTCGACAAAAACTGCGCGCCAAAGGCTTGACAGCCTGGTCACTCAGTATGGATGCGGGCGTAGATGGCGGAGGTGAGCAGCTACGCTTCTTTTTTTTCTTTCTTTTTAAAGTTATGGAGGATTGCCATACTACATTAACCATGTCACGTTCGTAGTTTTATTTTAATTGCCAAAACCCAGTAACATTGAAATCTCTTAGGTCTATAGCGATATTTACCAAGGCAATTCGCCACTAAGTGACAATGCAAGAATGATGATACTCACAAGGTCTCTCCTCGTGGTCAGCAGCAGGCAGCAGCCGGTACTTGGGCCTCGGACGCGGCTTCCTCGGTGCGCAGAGCCTCCTCAGCAGGCGGCTTGTGCCCACGCAGCAACCACACAGCAGGCACAGGATCGCCAGGCCGCCTAGCGACGCGTACACCACTGACCAATCTATGTAGTACAAGAATTAATTATTATTTTTAAAGAGGGGTTCAGCGTAAAATAGATAATACGTATTACAATCAGTGCTGGGCAAAATTTAATTGTTCTGGCAATTAAAGATTGACAATTAATTAATTGTGAATTGCGAAATAGCAATTAACGATTGATCAATTGTTAGTTGCGAGAACCGCAATTGGGTTGTGTGGGGTAGGGGGCGGGTCGGGTGTGGTTAGGGGTGAGGGGTTAGGTCACTCACTCAGTCACTCGCTCACCCACCCCATAACCCACCTAACCCACCCATTTAAACCACCCTTTTCCCACACCCTAACCCACCACATAACCAACCCCCTAACCCATATTCATAATGACACTTTTATTCGGTACTTTCGGTTTTAATTGTTAGTTTCAATTGTTTCTTAGAATAACTAAAAAATTAATTGCAATTAAAATCAATTTAATTGCAATTAAAATCAATTGCAATTGAATTGATTTTTAATCTGATTGAAATTTAATTGATGGACGCCCAACACTGACGGGTATTGGGTTAAAACCAAATAAATTCGCCCGGATTTTAGCCGGAGTTTAACCAATTTTTGTCCAAAATCGTGGACGGAAACGGCAAATAGGGAATATAGTATAATTCCACTTATTATTATTACAAATTTCGATGTAAAAAAAAATTTTTTTAGACAAGAAAGAGGACACTACACACAATTCCTACTTTGCAATCCTGTGGATTCTCACTGCTAAAGATGCACATTACGATTCGATTTTTATGAAAATCGATTCAAGTGCATATGATCTAACGATTTTTTGTATCAATTTATTTCAATACGATTTTCAAGCGAATCGATTATATAGAAAAGCAAATCGAATAGTTTAGATCAGAAAGCAATAAACATTTTGTAATAATATCATTAAATTTGAATAAAACTGGATTTACAATATATATTTACTGGTAAATAGTTTTTGCCCTCGATTTCGGGCATTAATGGGGTTTAACTCTATTTAACCCGGCCGGTTAAAACCCGGGCGCTTGCCCATCTCTGGGCAGGCGCAACTTACACTGCCGTGGAACGGTCAGGAAGCCATTTTATTAACGAAATTGTGCATATCATAATGAACACTATGCTTTTGTTTCGTTGCACTGGCTAAAGGCGATATTCGAACAAAAGTGTATAATAATATGATGAGCTCTGCCCGCCCAGCGAAATTGACATTTTTGTAATGATAAACTTTAGTGTTAACTTGAAACTTTAACTTGTATGACGACCTCCGTGGTCAGTCGCTTGCACACCGGTTTTCATGGTGTTGCCATCTCTGAGGTCCCGCGTTCGATCGCCGGTCGGGTCAATGTAAAAAAACTAACTTTTTTATATTGTCTCGGGTCTGGGTTTTTGTGGTACCGTCGTTGTTTCCGATTTCCATAATACGAGTGTTTTGTAAATGCAAATGTGTTAGTTATGACAAGGGTCAATACCCTTTCAACAGCAATCTGTTAACGTCCAAAGCTGCGGGAATACCCGAAATTGAACGAGAATTCTCCGGAAATCTAGCGACCTGTTTCTTGGCTCGTATGCAATGTGTTACACAATTGATATAAAGTTCATTATGCTATGGTTACGAAAATTCGCTTTAATTCCGCCAATGTAAATTGAGCCTTAGAGTCGAGTAGGAAACACACTACATCAAAGTAAGTTCGAATCATTTGTACTGCTATTAATACATTACAAGACTATACTGCTTTCGGTAGGTTTTAGGAATGTTAATAATACGTACTACAATCAGGCATGGCATCAGGGTCCAATTGTGCGAAGAGGCTCTGCATCCAGAAGGCGTCGCAACGGCAGGAGTGGGTGGCCCAATCGCACTGTCCGCGGCCCGAACACGTGCTAAGACAACGGACCGAACGCACCCGCGACGCGCCTGCTGCTATGCCCGCTGGTCGAGACAGCGAGAGGGCACGAATACCTTCCATTGGTTTGCCCTGTATAAATATTTTAGATTGAATAAGACCATATCTTCAAAACGACAACTTTTCAGAAGAGAGCAGTTTCTTCTTTCAGGGGAGATTGTACGAACGAAACTACTCGATAACTGTTTTATGTTTAAATAGGAGTAAAAATGTCATATTTATATAGTTTATTAAGTAGTTCGCATAATTTTTATGACTTAAAATATTATTTCAAAGATTTTGTGACATTTACAACTAAATAATCAATATTCATAAAAACAATCAATCTGCCAACCTTAAACGTTCTGGAACTTTATCAAAGTTATATTTTAAAAACAACAGTTGAGCTGTTTTTCGGCTTATAGTCTGTTTCTGGAAGGATTGTAAATTATTCCAGGGTGCCTTTTAGGCCAAGTCACAACTCGAACATCCGCAATGAATATCAGCATAGATTAAAGCGGATATTTTAATTTATGCTGATTATCTGTGGATGTGGAAACCGATATTCACAACAATCCTGGTGCGGACGCATATATTCGCATAATCTCGCGGTGCACTCGATTCGGCAGCGCGAGTCGTCTCACGCAACTTATTTTAACATTGAAGCGTTTGCTCGGTGTGTAAAAAAACGATATGAAATAGTACTTTTTTATTGTTGTGTAAACTATAAAGTTTGAACAAGAGTGTCTCAAATTCAGAATTGTTCACAATTTAATTTTTATTTTATAAGCTTACTCCCATAATCGGAGATCAATCCGCGATGCTGGTATAAAAATATCAAAACAAAGGTTATTTCAATAAAGCACGAGAATACACCTTATTTTTTTTTTCAAATTGCCTTTACAACTTGTAGGTACAAATAAGTAAATAATGTGACGACTCTACGTTTCGAGAGACGTGTAGGCATCGACGCGCCCGAAAGGCGTTTTTTTTCTTATGATACCAAGTGACAGGACGGAAAGTCGGGCGCCTGGTGTTAAGTGACCCGCCTGTCCATAACAGTTGCAGTGCCACTCAGAGCTTTAAATTGCAAAGATCTGAGGGACACTGCCACTGCACCTGTCACCTTGAGACATAAGTTGACAAGTCCCATGTGCCTGTAATTTCACCAGCACCCTTACCCTTCAAAACGGGAACGAACGTTGCACTACTTGTCGTATTATACTGTCTATGTTATGTAACCGTACGGTCTCAGGTTTGAAATTTAAATGAGTACTTACATCTTCAGTCAAAAAGAATATGATTTGCGTGTTTCGCGAATCGATTTCGCCTCTAACTTCGGTGACGTTCACATTCACGTTGCCTTTAAGCAACAACGTCATTTTCTGCACTAAGGAGTCTAACTGGCTCTGGGAGAATACCCATATGGGTGTATTCAGGGTTAGTTCTAGAAGTTTCATTTCTAGAGGATCTGATTTCACTTGAACGCTGACCGTGTCGCGATCGGTTGCGCCTTGGTCGTCGGTCACTGTAAGTTCGAACACGTATCTGCCTTGTTCTATGTTTGTGAGCTGGAAATATTACAATTGTTAGCTTTTTTATTATACACAAACCGGTAAACAGGCAAGTCAGTCCACATGACGTTAAGTTGTTACCGCGATGCTAAGGAGTTACTCTTAAAAGCCGCGATACCTAAATTCTTAAGGCCCTTTGTGCACGTGATCGCGGTGGCTCACACAGCAGTGCTGTGTTACAATACAAGTACGTATTGCGGGCTATGCGCTGACAAAGGAGAAGGGTCACAGTCCATAGAAAATTAACCCAGTCCCGGCGCAAGAAAACCTATCTCAGAATTTTGTTTATATTAAGGTAAGTAAATTCTGTGTAGATTTTGTGTTCGATATCAGTGGCTAATATGTCAATATTGCCTTTTGTTTTTGCTTCAGCGCATAGAGTTAGGTAATGTATGTTCATGTATAAACTTTTGTTTTACCTTTTATTTAACTTTTTTTTGTTTAACTGTTTGCCTGCAACAGGTTTTGTTCTATGAAAAACCATGGACCAATAACTCAAGAGGACTGCTAATCGTCATACAAGATAGCGTAGCCGGTAATTTAGTACCTATTGGTAAACTAGATGTCGCAATGAGTACCAAATAGCTATTTTGTAACATTATAATATATATATATATATATGTATATATATTACATTGACACATTGAAATTTATTAAATATGCTTCCAGTGACAACAAACACATCAACTAGATGGCGCTATATTTTAACTCAAAATGGATGCACCTGGAGTCGTATACAAATACATTGTAAAAAAAACAATCACAACTCACAACGTTTGTTCGTGGCATGCCCCTTGCGTTTGTTTGTTTTCAGTTTAGCGATTTTAAGATTATTTTATTGTTACTGTGACCTGTGCTTGTATATTGCCGCTCGTTTGAATAAATTTTAATAAAACAGACCTGTGCGTATATTTGGACTTCGATATTGATCGTTCTTGAATTATTTTTCATAATGTCGTATACAAAGTGATTATGTCATGGTTGTGATAACACAAGTCAAGACATTTCAATGTTTCGCTTTCCTGTACATGATCAAGGCCGTCTATTACTTTGGATACTAAATTCAAATTGTATTCAATGACCATTATGGTATGACTAATTATTTCGGCTGCCCCAGAGCAGTTTAACAAGTTCGAACCCTGAATTGTAAACTAGGCCAAAGTTAAAGTAAATAAATTTTTATTATATTTATTTATTTACGTAATAATATTAGGTAGAGTACTAATCAATGAATATATTGATGTCACAAAAATGACTACGACTTACGTATTACATATTTTATACACCTTACCGAATATTTATGTATACTCTATTACACAAGATACCTAGTGAGGTATCTTGGGGAGTGCCCCAATATGCCCAAACAAACCTTTAGGTTCTGAGAGCCATCGTACATATTAAATAGACAAAATTTTTAAGGATTTTCAACTAGTAAGGCACTTTAACTACTTCAAAACCTAGCAAGTCTCGAACACTTGCCATGTTTCGAATTGGTTCAAGTGGTTTACTAGGTTTTTAACTGGACATGTAGCAAACTCGATGTGCCTTATTAAGATTTCGAAATCTTTGGTAAATTATAGGATTTTGAAGTTGCTGTCTCTGCAGTTTGGTGAGTAATTTGTCCCTTACTAGGTTTCGCTCTCGGACAGCTGACTTGTTTTAAGACTGCACCATAGCAATATAAGTTATTTTCCAACTGCCCCTTATTCGATGTTCTTAAAAATATTATTTAAATATGTAATTTTATGACTTTCCCTTTTTAGGAAATATTTACCTGGATTCTTTAAGTACACTACTAAGAAGCACTGAGACTAACTAAACTAAGAACTGCCTCCGTGGCCGAACGGTTACCATGCCGGACTGCCACGCAGAGGTCCCAGGTTCGATTCCCGGGCCGGGAGAAATGTTTGTATGGCTTACATTTATTTCTCTCGTGAGTTTGGGTGTAATTTGTGGTTGTCTATGTGTGTGTCCATGGCACCCGCGACACAGGGTTTCCCTAGTGCGGGGCTATGTTGAGTGTGTGCGTTATTTATTTATTTAAGAAGAACTGAGAAGGCGTTACATATGTGCTGCACATTTCCCAAAGTCCAGCATTCATAAAGGAAATGAAAGAAGCAGATTAATTGGATCTGCTGTTCCAGTCCATTTCAAAAGCACTGAAGTCAGAGAGGGAACTTGAACTCAGACAAATTCTCATGCAAATATGGAAACTGGTGAGTTTTTTTTGCACATAATATGTTTGCAAATGCCACATTCCATATAGTAAATTAAATGATGAGGATATAAGTTTACTTATAGCTGGTGGTAATCAGAGCGATAGCACTTCTTTTCTTTTTCAGATGTACCGTCTTCACTAAAACTTTTAAGAGTTAAGACACCAGTTAAGTTTTATTCAAGACGTCGCACATCCGCAATTGGTTACACAAATATTATCTACAGCACCATCTCCATATTTATTTCAAGAATATACAATTGTGGGGATACCAACCCAGAGATTGTCCAGGAAGTGTCAGTTTGAAGGATCTAAGAGACGGTTATCCAGAAAACGCTTATTTGAAGACATTATTAATAACACACTGAAAACCTTACGTTTGAAACGATTAGCGTCTGGCTTGTTAAGAAAAAATCGGGCACAGTCAGCTACAATTCTTAGTCTGCGAAAAAAAAGAAAAAAAAAACAGCTCAAAGCAACAATGGCCAAGGATAATTTTCGAAGTGAAGTGTCTAAAACATTAGCACATATGCAATTAAAAATGATAAATGACAAAAAAAAGGGCAACAGAAGAAAAAAATGTCTGTCTGTCGCTATTTTACAAATCCCCAGCAACATATTATTTTTAAAAAAGGCAAGGGTAGTGCTTGCAGCTCCATCAACCATTAGAATGTGGCTGGTAAAATCTAACTATTTGCCAGGTCTATGCCCTTGAAGATTTGGGAGGAGGTCACCGAAGCAACAAAATTGCAAAATATGCATTGACTTACAATAAAAAAATAAGCTTTGGTGTTTGTTGTTAGGGGCTTATATAGTAAATGAAAACTACTCGTGGCTTGTTTTTAATCCAATTCAAATGTCAAAGCAAACACATTGCAATTATTAGGAAAGGCTGTAATAAATAAACTTTTTGATTTTGGATTGTTGCCTAAAGCTGTGGTTTGCGACCAAGCTACTACAAACCAAAAAGTTTACAAAAGTTTTGGAGTCACAACTAGAAGCCCTTTCTTTTTTACCAAAGACAGAAAAATTTTCCCCTTTTTCGACGTACCACAGTAAAAAACATACGAAATAATTTTATCACAAATAATTTTAAACGGTGAAAACGAACTTTCTTTCCAAGATGTTGTGAAAACATATGAAGATCGATAAAAACTCAGAATGTAGTAGATCGCTCACAAAATTAAGCGACTGTCATATGAATACAAATTCATTCCAAAAATGTCAGTAAGGCTTGCCACTCAAGTTTTCAGTAACTCTGTTGCTGCTGTTGCTATTAAAACTTGCAGCAAAACCGGACAATTGAGGAATGAAATTGCAGATGCGACTGCTGATTTTATATCACTTGTCAACAACATGTTCGATGCGTTGAATAGTAGACGTCAATTTGACGAAAACCCAAATAGACATAGGGTCGTAGTCTAGAACTCTACTCAATGCTCAAGTCAGGATTGCACTGGAAATACGACCCTAATGGCAGGGACTTGCGTATGATTTTGAGTGCTTTAAACCATACTCAAATCCTGACTTGAGCATTGAGTACAGTTCTAGAATACGACCCTTAGTCTATCGAGAAAATCAATTTACGTAAGACAAGCAATAATTAATGGTAAAAATTTATTTGAAAATTTACAGAAAATTTCATATAAAAAAAAACAAGCTTGGCTAATGTGAAAAAAATGACCCACTCACCGTGTTTTGATGGAGTTGTTCAATCATGTGAAGCAGTTTTGCAATTATTTTATGAGGAATCAACAGATTCGCCGATGAGATTTTTAATTACTCAAAATTAAGAAAATTTGTTTGCACGTTTTAGACAAAAGGGAGGCTCCAACAGAAACCCATCGGCAAAGTTGATACGAATGATATTTAGAAGCTGCTTTCTGAATTCATTAATAAAACTACCAAATTCAACCAATTGTCAAGAGGAAAATGAAGAATATATCCAGTTAAATGTTGGGTAAGCAACAGAGCACAGCACAAATTCAACCAATTGCCAAAAGGAAGATGAAGAATATATTGCGTTAAATGTTGGGCAAACAATAGAGCATAACACAAACGCCAGTTCTTCTAACAGTGCGACTATTTTGTCTTCGACTTCTATCGAAGGTGTCAGCATGGCACAAGTCAAAGCCACGACAATGCAAACAAATTACGACGAAGAAATTTCTTCTGACGTTACATAAAAGAATGTTTTATTACGTATTTTGCAGGATATCTTGCCAAATCTTGTCTAGTAAAAACTAAATGTAACGAGTGCCACAAAAATTTATTAAAAGAATTTGATCTTGAAGATCAAAAAGAATTATTGGTTTTAAACAAATTTTATAATTTTAAGAAGAAGTTTAAGATTGTGAAAGACCAGTAAATCATTAGTATAATTCCCAAAAGTGCAGTGTCGAAATTAAGGTTAATCCATGTAACGTTTTAGAGAGCACTCTCGCTCAATCGCTGAAGCGAACCGGTGAATTAGCATAATTAGTTTTAAGGCAAACCTATGTAATACTTTCATTAATTAAAATCTTATAAAGGACACAAATCGCCTCTTTTTAGAAAAACCTCCTTCAGTCGGCTAGTTCCGTAATTGACGTGACGAACAAGTAAATAAATAAATGCGAAAAAAACTCTGTTTGTAACGTTTTCTCACCTAAACCGCTGATGAATTTTGGTATAGAGATAGATGGGACCTAGGAGAAGGACAAAGGCTACTTTTTGTCACAAAAAATAAAAAAGAGTTAAATAAGGGATGAAAATTAGTGTATGTATATAGCCAGTAGACCTGCGCGACATCCCCAACCGCATCCTGAGCGCGTTATACACGCTGGGACTCGCCGATGCTCGCTCGCTCACTGGATGCGACTACATGCGGTCGCATAGAACATTGATGTTGTTTTGTTTTTGTGTTGCTGTCCTTATGTATTGTGCAAATAACTAACCCTTAGACCTGAGCATTATCTCATATGACATTCCCGGATATTCCTATATGACATAAAACATTCCCAAATGAAATATTGATATACTTCATTTATTCTTAATTTAATTAAATGTTTTAATCATACCTTGATTACAGTAATCTGTACAAACAACAAACTTAAAAAACAGTTTCAACTTTTGGTTGGTTTGGTTACAACAGTTGGTGAAATTACAGGCACATGGGATTTGTCAACTTATGTCTCAGGGTGACGGGCGCAGTGGTAGTGCCCCTCAGATCAGATGCAATTTAAAGCTCTGAGTGGCACTGTAACTGTTATGGACAGGCATGTAGCTTACTATCAGGCGCACGACTTATTCGTCCCGTCACTTGATGTTATAAAAAAACATTCAAGCCACACTTTTGCATGTCGATATTGATTTATCGATAATTATGGTACAACATTAAAGAAGTGCGCCAATTGTGGTGTACAATTTTGGTTTAGGTAGCCACGTTTATTTCGTAGATAGGACAGCTCCTTTCCTTTATTTTTTTCCATCCTCTAAGTAATAACTAGAAAACTACTAAAGTACTAAATTGTATAGACAAATTAGAATTAGAATAGTCTAATGCCATTTAGACATATTGATAGTTTAGCTTAAAATTATTCATATTTCAATGTTATTGGGTGTAATAAGCGAGAAATAACAATGGCTACGGTAATTTTAGGCTAAAAACACCGAACGTGAGATTGGCCGAAATAATATTTTTTAAATATTATTTGTAATTCCAAGGAGTATGATATTGCATTATTTATCGCCACTTAGGGTCCTATTCTAGAACTCTACTCAATGCTCAAGTCAGGATTTGAGTATGGTTTAAAGCACCCGAAATCATACTCAAGTCCCTGCCATTACGGTCGTATTTTCAGTGCTTGAAATCATACTCAGATCCTGACTTGAGCATTGAATAGAGTTATGGAATACGACCCTTAGAATCGCAGATATTGCATTGGTTCCAAAGGGTCATATCGGAACGCCACCACAAACGGGTGACAATTAGACTTCCTTTAAGTCAACTATATTCAACCGATTTTTATAGATACTTCCAGGTATTCTTTTATTTTGTTTAGGATTAGCGCCATCTAACCATATTCGCAAGCGTTACGTTATTAATTAAGTTAACAACGAACAATGCCATCTATTGATACGTATAAATATCGAAGTTCAGAAAATAATTTTAGTTTATTACTAAACATTTGAAAAACATTACAAGAAAAAAAGAATAAGTACTGATATTTCATATAAAAGAGGAATTAATCGATATCTACTGCCATTTACGTAAACATAAACTAATTCCAGGCTATCGATCAGCGCCATCTAGATATCAGACGGCATTTAGACCTTTTTCAGAGCTACAATTTTTAATATGGAGAGTATATAGTAGTCCTCTTGAGTCATTGGTCCATGGAAAAACAAAACAATTATATCTAACTATTGTTTTTTAAGTGCTGTTTTCTTAATTTTTTTTAGTATATTATTCCTACCTTTATTGGTTACATTATACTTCCTTTGAAGAATATAGAACAAAAACTGTTGAAGGCTTTTGTTTATACAATAATTAAGTCATGTCCACTTGTCATAATGTTTTCGGAATATCCGAAAACTGACATAAAGGTTCCCCGTGAAGTTTCTCTTCACCGTTGCAGTAAGTGTATTTGATATCGTCTGTTTAAAGGTAAAACCAGATAAGTGACATTTTTTCACAAAAAATCTCCAAATTATGTATCAGTTGTAAAAAATCCACCATCTTTCTGCATATAAAACTCTTATTAAGGTTATAGCTTTTTTGTTATTGAGCTTCACGTGCAGAAAGATAGCGATTTTCTTACCATAGTTATACAAATTATAGACTTTTTGTGGAAAATGTCATTTATGTGGTTTTACATTTAAACAGACGATATATTCTACAAAAGGCTAGAAAGAGCCAAAAGTGCGGACATGTCCTGGGTATCGAACCTGTAATTTTGTGTTAATAAATCTTGCTTGCAACTACCGCGTTCGTGTTTTCGAAGATTTTTTTGTAAAACAGAAGGTTTTGTTTACCTAGAATGTGATGAAGTGATTTAAACAATTCAAGACGTCAGTGGAGCGGACAGATGAATGCCTGATGACTTCCTATAAAATAAAGCAAACTTACCATTAACACAGGTTGTGTATCAGAGTCCAATATAATAGTACCAGCGGCCAGCCCTAATCCAGAGCGAGTCCATTTCCATGACACGATGCGAAAGTCGTCATACGATTTTGATCCGTTTAATATGAGCACTGAGATTGGTAAAGACAGTACTTTATCGCCACCTGCGTCTGCTTTTGGTGGAGAATTTTTGTCTGCAAACATATTATTGACGTGAGAATTTATAGTTTCGGGATTTTTTTATGTATACACAAATCGGCAAGCAATCTGATGGTATACGTGATGGAAAGTGATTACTGGTGCATATAGACATTTGCGGTTAAGTAACATTCCTTATTATTGTATATGCGTTGACAGCCCTGAGATATATGAAGTCTCCGATCACTGCTTGCGTGGGCTTTCCCAAGCCTACAATCCGGAACACAACGGTGCTTTTTTACGAGAGAAATAGGTAGGGAGTTTTGCACACCCTGGTGAGTAGTTCCCATTTGTCATATTATAGAACACGACGTCATCGAACAATACGAGCACATTTTGGCTTAATTGTTCTAGAAGTACATACAGGTAATATTTTTTCTCTCGCATTGTTCTATAGAACAAATTGTAATATAAAACTCTTGTATGCAACATCGATGTGACAATCAAAAAAACGTATTACTATAAAAAGTGTCTCATTTTGTCGATGACGCCATGTTCTATAGAATAAATGGGAACTACTTATTATTACTATTACCACTTCACTTTGGATTGTTGCGCAGAAACTACCATTACCACTTCACTTTGGATTATCATGGTTATATTTCACACTATTACATCTGTATTCTCAGTTGTTCAACGGTTTTGAGGTTTAAACGACTTTACCTATCCATGTTGATGACATTTGGATTCATTGAATTCAGCATAGCACTTTGTTTTACTAAGTATTAAAATAGTAATTAATTTAATTGTTGCAATGGTATGGTTTCTGCAAAGTATCTTGAGCATGCATGTCGAATGGTCTAGAATAGTCTAGATACTACTAAAGTTACTATGTTAGTTTATACACGATGACTATATGAATCCCATGCATTATTAGGAACTAAATACGGGTATGCACCTGCATAGCAAGTAATCTGTACATAGAAATATCAAAACAGTTTATTTCAGTTTTGCCGGATTCCATGTTCACGATTTCGAAATACACACATCAAAAGTGTCTAGGGATCAAGCACGTTTTTGTCAATTACTGAAAAACAGGTTTTCCAACATTTTTTTATTTGAATTTAAAAATGAAATTGACAAAAAATATACATTAGTGTAAAAAAATCATTAAAAAACCTGATTTTTAACGATTAGCAAAAACGTATTGATCACTAGACACTTTCGATGTGTGTGTATAAGAAAAGTAAACGAGTATACAAAACAGGCAAACTTGTGATCGTGTGAAGAAAACTTACTCTGTGTAACAGTGACTGTGACGTTATCCGAAGCAGAATTTCCGTTATCATCAAGAACGGTTACCGAAAAGACATACTGTCCTTTTGTAAGCTGTGTAGCATTGGCTAGAGACTCATTGTAGTTTATAATAGTGGCGTTGTTCGGCCCAGAGAGGCAGCGCCATGTGTACGCCACGATTCTGTGATCGTCGTGCGATGCTGTACCGTTTAGAGTCACCCAGGTTTGAGGAAGGGATATGAACTGCAATTTTCATTACTATATTTACAACACACCTCAACCAGAAGTATCCGAAATGACCATGCATGAAAGGTTGATTTTAATGAATTAAGCGAACCTCCAGGATCGTGGCAAGCACATATTATATGTATGTATGTATTATCTGTCGTGCTCACTTCAGAATGGTATTATCATACGACAAAATATAAAAACAAAAAATCTCGATTATAGAAACTAAAACAGTAAATCGTTTAAAATATTGTGAGGTTTTAGTTAGTTAGTTTCACATGCATGAATCAAAAAACTATGTTATTATACATTTGTACCCAAAATTAGTGATCAACCAATGAGGATTTCCTTTGTACTCGTTTATTTATCACTTCCCATGTCCTTCTACATTAGCTTTGGTATAATTATATGCTATGCAAAGCGGTCCAATTTACGCAGCATTTACGTTTATTTTTTACTTTAAGAAGTGAATAACCCAATCACGAGTAACTTTCTGCGAAGTAAAAAATTCGAAGTGTTCGTCCTCGTTACAGCAAAAGGAAATCAATTGATAAATAGTTAATTTTAATACTCCCAATGAAGTGCAAACATGAACTCACGACATCTGAGCCTGCGCTGGCGACAGGCGGAGTGTTAGTAGGTGGTTTGACGAACACGTGTACGTCCGCTGTGGATGATTGGCCCGAAGAGTCTGTTACTTTTAGCACGAATGTGTACACCCCTTCCGATAAGTTTGACAACTGAAAAAAAATTTAAACAAATGCAAAACTGTGGCCTCTTTATTAAAGCAAGATTTGCGGCAATACCCACAAACGGGCGGAATGACGGTCGTTGCATATACAAGGCGGCACTATTATTCATCTCGTAATCTTTAATCAATCGTAGTGGTAGCTTTTTTGTAAACGGGAATTACACGGCGGTTTACAAATGTTATGATTCAGAATAAAGATTGTGCAACTGGTTTTTTTTTATCGCACACACTCAACATATCCCCGCACTAGGGAAACCCTGTGTGGCGAGTGCCATGGACACACACATCGACAACCACAAATTACACCCAAGCTCACGAGAGAAATAAATGTAGGCTATACAAATATTTCTTCCAGTCCGGGAATCGAACCTGGAACCTCTACGTCAGCCTTTCCCAAAGTGGGTGATAACGCCCCTTGTGGGCGCTGCAGGCCTAAAGGTAAGAGATCCAGAAAAAAATGGGGGCGTTGTGTAGAGGCTTAGGGGGAGATTTGTAATTTCATCTAGGAAGACTCTTAGGGTCGTATTCTAGAACTCTACTCAATGCTCAAGTCAGGATTTGAGTATGGTTTAAAGCACTCGAAATCATACTCAAGTCCCTGCCTTTAGGGTAGTATTTCCAGTGCTTGTGTTTTCAGTGCAATCCTGACTTGAGCATTGAGTAGAGTTCTAGAATACGACCCTTAGACACCTACTGAGCTCTCGACTGTCGACTACAACTTGTGAACATCAACTACTAATAATTAAGAGATTGCTCAAACTAACTCGGTTCGATATTTCTCTCCGTGTAGTTCATATATCTGTCCTGTTTTATTGAATAAATAAAATAAAAATCATGTCAATCGGTCGCTCCGTTTCGAAATGAAAGTAGACATAAACAAACAAATAAAAAAGCAACAGACACAGTTTTGCATTTTAATAGTTATTAGTATTCCTAGATAGGTAATTTTTCGTAGACAATAGGCCGCGGGCAATCACGTTTTAACAAGTTTTTGTTAAATAACCCGATTTGTGCATTCCTGTATCAATCGGCTGGTTCATAGAATACTTGTTCTTACTTGTTAAGTACGATTGAGCGTCGAATGAGATAAACGTCTTATTCCTGTCGGTGAGTGCTGCTTATGCAATCCTATATAAACAACGTAATATTTATTTTATTTTGATTTGCAGTTTCGCGCGTAATAGATAAGCAGTACTTAAGTTCAACACTTACTTACGTATTTCTCAAAATAAAACAATGTCGGAAGTAAAAAAGAAGAGACGGCAATACTGTGCGGAATATATTAAATTCGGATTCATTGAAAATCCCACAAACCCATCGTCGCCTTTGTGCCTTCTATGTCTAAAAACATTTTCGATTGAAGCAATGAAGCCTTCAGAACTGCAAGATCATTTGAATAAAATGCATCCAGATAAGAAAGACAAGACAAGAATGTAGCATATTTTCAAGACCTAGAGAAGAATCATAATACTCAGCCAAGTGTAGCAAAACTCTTTCGGCGGCTGCTAAACAAGATGACGACGGACTTCGAGGTTCGTACAATATCTCTTTGTTAATTGCTCAAAATGACAAACCACACAACATCGGAGAAGAGTTAATTTGCCAGCAATAAAGGAAGTAATAACTACTGTGCTTCATAAACCGGCCGCAGATATCCGAAAAATTCCTATGCGCAATAATTCAGTGCAAAGACGAATTGATTAAATGGCTGAAAACATTGAAGAATCATTGTGCAATCATCAGAGGACTAGTCAATTCTCAATTCAGCTCGATGAGTCCACTTTACCAACTAATGAAGCATTGTTGCTGTCTTACGTGTGGTTTATTAAAAATGAGAAAATATGTGAAGAACTATTGTTTGCTAGAAATTTAGAGACCGATACAAAAGGCGAAACCATATTCAATACATTGGAAAAGTTTTGTGATGAGAAAGAGATTGCCTTGAAAAATATTACATCAGTTGTTACGGATGGCACTCCGGCTATGAAAGGGTGCCATAAAGGCTGCATAGCGTACTTAAAAAAATAAAATTCCAGATGTCCTTGCTTTACATTGCGTTATTCATAGACAACATTTGGTTGCTAGAAATTTAAGTGAACGACTATTTCAATCACTGCTATAAGTCATCGAAGCACTCAATAAAATCCGTGACAGCTCTTTGAATGATAGATTATTTCATCAGCTTTGTGTTACTAATGAAGAAGATTTCAACCGTTTGTTGTTTCATACTGAAGTTCGTTGGCTACCAAGAGGCAATTCTCTGACTCGATTTTACAACCTGTTTGACTCTGTGATAGAGTGCTTGGAAACTAAAGATACAGAATTGCGCAACAAGCTTATTACATCAAAGAATGATACAGTTTACATGACAGACCTGTATAAATTGTTCAACGACATGAATCTCCAGCTGCAAGGCGATGGACTAAAATTAATTAAAACAAAAAATGTCGTTGCTGCTTTCGCAACCAAACTGCTTCTACACAAAAAAAAATATGAGCAGACGTGAGTTTCACAATTTTCCGAATTTATCAGTGTCCTGCAGTAACGACTTGTTTGCCTACTGCCAACATTGACTTCACCGAATGACACTAAGACATTTTGAACTTGGAAATACCAGACTGGGTGTTGAATCCGTTTTCAAATGTCAACACAGCAATATCACCTCAGCTGGAAGAAGAACTTATACAATTGACAACGAACGAGGAAATAAAAATCAAGTTCAAAAATGGCTACCAAGAATTTTGGCTACAAAAACCGATCCCGCAATCGTGCAACGATTCTTGATAGCATTCCCATTGTCATATTTGTGTGAACGTGGTTTTAGTGCTGTGACAACGCTGCTTACTAAAAAGAGAAATCGTTTGCATGTTACCGAACGTGGTGACTTGCGGCTGTTCTTAAGTAAATTGGAACCTGATATCAACAAACTTAACAGCATCAGATTCATCCTTCACATTAGTTTTATATTAGAATCGATTGTTTGTTTTATTTTGAACAAAAGATACTCTATCTGAATACTATAAAGTTGCGTTTCAATAATCATTCTCATTGGCAGGTGTAGCCCGTAAGAGTTACCTTGAGACCTGAGCGCCGTTGTGTACCACCTACTCGGCTCAGGTGTCAAGTTAACTATTGCGGGTTATAGCAAAAGTCTCGTTTAGAATGAATGTTCAATCTCAAGTAGGTGAAAAAATCGGGGCGCTAAAAAATAATTTACTCTCAAAGTGGGCAGGTATGGTAACCGTTCGGCCACTGAGGCAGTGACTGTTGAGATCGAAGAAAGGAAAATTATCTGAACGAATAAGGTTTATTTCATTATTATTCATTCAAAAGTCGAACAAAGACAAAGAAAAATTCCTTGGGACTGGATTCGAACCAGCGTAAGTCGTCTCAACGTGGCTGTTTTATCTTAACAGGTTTGTTTACTATATTTAACATAACTATATCGAATATTAATATTATTTAAAATTCAAATATCCTAACAACTACATTAATATGTAAACATTTACCTGTAAATACGGTGAGTGCGTATTCTGCATGTCGACAGCTTTATTTTCGTCTTCGGCAGATTTGGTCCATTCCCAAGATACGATCTCATGGTCGTCCGTTGACAGGCTTCCGTTTAATGTTAGATTATTGTTCGGCAGGTATATTATTACGTCTTGGCCTATAATAAATAATAATAATAATAAATAAAATAACTTTGTTTCAGACTTCTGAAGGCGGTCCATATAAAAGTGTTAGTAAAACAAAATTAAAATCTTAAGGAACTAAGGGTCGTATTCTAGAACTCTACTCAATGCTCAAGTCAGGAATTGAAACACAAGCACTGGAAATACGACCCTAATGGCAGGGACTTGAGTATGATTTCGAGTGCTTTAAACCATACTCAAATCCTGACTTGAGCATTGAGTAGAGTTCTAGAATACGACCCTTAGTGTTAGTATACAATAAAAATCCAAGTGAAAAAATAAAAATATAAAATCAGAAACATTAACATAATTCATATTTTAAATAATGAAAGGATTAAATAAAGAATTAAAGGTCGTGTTTAAGACGCTCTCTTTAAGAAACCTTTTATAGGCATATATGTATTTATTGTCAATGATAAACTGGACAAAGGAAGTGAAGCATTGACTATCAATTGACATTGTAAAATTTAATTATCTCTTAATAAAAAGTTACTCTAAAAGCCTCTCGTGGTTTAAGGTCCCCCTGGACCTGTTGAGTTTAACCGGTGTTGCTTAAAAACTGTCGTCACAGTAGCATCACAGTATTAAACATTAACATTAAGTAATTAAAAAAAATTAACGCAAAAATAAAAAAAATTAAGAAAGTTTTCCGGCTACGCCAATGGTCTCCACTTGCAAACGTGTGGAATGGGATCTGTAGGTACTTTGGCGCCCCGAATGCCGTGAAACCTAAGCAACGCGACTTATTTCGCAGTGTAGTTCCGGCACTGTGTTTTGAATTATGTATACCACCAATAACCACACTTGCAGTTTTCGAAGGACCTACAGTTTTGTGGTTTCTGTTATTGTCGCAAAAACATAATTGTAATACAGAACCTGCGGACGTTCCTAGAAGTAAACAGTACTTTAATTTGGAACAAGAAAATAAGGAAATTTTATGTAAAATTTAAGTCATTTTTGTACGTAGGTACATTACATACAGATTGTAGTGGTGGGGGCATTGGCCTACCAACAAATACAGTCGGTCAGTGGGTGTATCCGGCGTTCTTTTGACATTCAAAATTGTTGATTACGATATTGTAAAATATGACTAAAGAATGTGAAGGTTCAATATGATCAATGGTCATAAAAATAAAATTTAATTTCCTTTAAATTTATGAAAATACATTCCTTTTTTCATTTGATTGATACATATAGGAAATGAAACTATTTTTAAGGATCTTAATCGCGATGACATTCTCATCTCAGTCAGCAATGACCATGGGACCTGTAAAGGGCCCGAAACGTTGGTTTGTATAAAAAAAAACAAACATACGCGTTTTAAATCCGAAAAAATAGTTTCACTTCCTATGTATGTACTAAGCAGTGTATTTAGTTTTTGTGGAATCCACAATTCGTACCTGCATTGGCTTCAGGAGGATAATCCGTATGATTAAGCACAGTGATATTAGCAGTAGTCGAATTCTTGATATGGTCGGAGTCCTCCACAGTAAGTTTGAACGTGTAGTTGCCGGGTTGTTTCAGGTCCTTCAGTACTAGAGTGGGCCCGTCTTGCAATGGCGGCTGGTATCCTATTGGACCCGCTGTTAGTTCCCAGTGCCAAGATATAATTGCGTCGTCGTCCTAGGAGATATTTAGATATTTTAAAAATACTGTGCAGTACTTTGTCAACGGGAGATTCCGATTATTAGAGGGTAAAATATCCAATTGGAAATCAGTATTTTCCATAGATATAGAAAAAAAGGGGACATAATAATGACGCTATGTAAGATCGGGTGCCGATGTCGCCACTCTTTAGCTTGTGTGCAGTTCAAACTTTACGCTCTATTATCTACTACTATAACTTAAAGATTTTGATTGGGTAGGGCTTAAAACGTGAAAACGACGTAACACAATTTTAAAATTTAACAAAATTAAACTGACTGTATCATTTGAGTAGGAGTTATTTTACAATATTTCAGTATAGGAATGAAACTATTTTTCCGGATTTAAATCGCGTATATTTGTTTTTTCAAACAAACCGACGTTTCGGGCCCTTTACAGGTACCATGGTCACGGTTGACTCTTTGACGTCATGGTCACGGTTGATTTAAATCCGGAAAAATAGTTTCATTCCTATGTATAACAATCGCGAAAACCTAAGAACTCGAAATATTTCAGTATTTTTTTTCATCCTGGTTCAGCCATTCACCATCAGGTGGCGTTTTAGTAAAATGCTACTAGTATATAATAGCTAAATACACGTTAGATGGCGCTGAATCTCATTTTTCGTTACACTAAGAACTCACGGAGCGGTTTCCACCCGCGTTTGCCGCGGGACCGCGGCATCTATAGAATGTAATAGTTAAGTATGTAAAATTAGTAGCACGTTTCACGGCGCGTTTTACGCCTGTAGTGGTGACGGTTGCTCGCGGTTGCCGCGGCGGGGTACTAGTAGAACCGCGCAGGATGCGATCACCTGCGCGCTTGGCGGCCGTCGTTGCCCGCACACTTTGGCGGTCGGTTCTGGCGCAATGTGGTGCAGGCGCACGCGGGGTGAGTTCTTTATTAACCGTGCGATTAACTCCAACTAACTTCGCGGCCCGTTCCGCAATGGCAACGGTGTCGTGCCCGCTACCGCGGCGGCTACGTGCCCGTACAACCTTGCAGGGTCGTGAGTATTTGTCGTGGTGAATGTTCACTGATCCCACGGCGCCGACTCAACCGGCGAGAGGGAAACCCGGGGGGGTTTTAGTAGGGTAGACCCTCCAGTCTGGAGGGAGAGTCCCCACATAACTCCTGAGTCTCCCTGGGCTCAGGGGTATCCATAAAGATTTCCCCCCGTCAAAAAAAAAAAAAAAAAAGGGTCGTGAGTATTTAAATAAAACAGCTGTCTAGCAGCACCGGCGGGCGCGGATGGAAACCGCTCCGTGAATTGTTAAGCTTATTAACCGTAAACTGACGCTACTCAATGAGGGATGTGGTCCTACCTAATCGATAGTTAGAAACCATGTGGCTGTTTTCAATATTAAAAAAATATTCAATTTTTCATAATATACCTACACTGGTACTGGTGTATTATTAAATTAATATATTTTTTTTTTGTTATGGCGGCCGCTAGGCTTGGGCCAGTGTCAGTTTTATAAGAATAATATAAAAAATATGGCGATCGTCGTCAGTGTCCGTTTTCCATTATACGTTTCCACGGGTTGGTGAAGCTGTCGCTGTTAAGAGTAAACTCGAACCTTCAACGAATTTAATAAATTAAATTATGTTGTTTTTTTATGAAGGAATTATGTAATTTTTTATAATTGTTTCTAATTTATTTTGCTTGCATGTGTAAAATAAAGCCGATATTATTTTTATTTTTTTAAATGCATCTGCTATCGAAATTTTAAGAAAGTCAGAAATAGCATATCAGCAAATTCATCCTCTCCAATTCTTGTAACTCTAGCGACTAATATTGTAGATACAGTTACAAGAATTGGAGAGGATGTGGGTTATATTTTTTTTTTGTGTCTAATGGAGCAATAAACATATTTCACGTAAGTCCACTTATACAATTCTTCCATTAGGGGTGCGAAATGTTTTGTATAATGCCATTTCTGAAACTTCTAAGGGGAGTGTTTCACGAAGTTGTAGAGGAATAGTAGTGCGAAATCAGGGATCAAATCAAAGTTATTTGCTCGAGGAAGCGCCTTAACAGAATGTAAAAAAAAAACTTGCTAAAGCAATACATTATGAATGAACATAAGCCGTGAATGTGAAATATAGCGTCTTCTACTATTACAGTTCGTACCTTACTAGCACTTCCATCGAGCACAGCTCCTGAATTAGGCAGCTTAACAGTCTGTGACTGCGGTGTGATAACAACTTGCGGCGGCGTATTTATGCGCTGCGGAGGCAACACTGTAACATTTGCGTATCCCTCCCCGTAGTAGCTGCTACCGTTGACTGTTACTTTGAACTGGTATTGACCTTCTGTTAGGTCTGTTAGAGTTACTGTTGCTCCGTTTTGGTTCATGTTTCCTAGATTATGAGATTATTATAAAAGCCGTAAAAGTTTACAACTGTAAATAAGTTTATGTTATGGCCATTTTCGTAATGGGTGCAGCCAATGGCTTTTTCGAGCCATCACTTGGTTACCGGCCTTTAAGACCATAGTCCACCGCGACTGGCTTATGTAATTGGGTTTTAGAACAGTTTTGTAAACCTTCGTACATATTCTTATGCCCAATCTGTGTTTTACAGAAGTATAAGTATAGAAAATTAATTTTTTTAAATACAAATAAACCGTAATGTAATTTTTAAAAGTCAGAGAATTACCGGTAAATCCACCCTTTGGTTGATTGACTAAAGTCCAAACGTAGTTATAGTGTTCGTTTGTTGCCTTTTCGTCAGGAATTGTGTATGCTGATAATGTCACTTCATTGTCTGGTAGTTGCACCTTGAAAGTAAATAACCATTTATAAGTAAATACAAAAAATATTCTTGTTAAGGTGTCTCTCGTGTTTTGGATAGTGCTGGTTCTTCTTATCCTTGAATAAAGAACACACCAGTGCTGTTTTATGATTGAAATAGGTAAGGGCGTTAGTAACTAACCAAGAAAGTTTAGCACAGGTAGAAAACCACCACAATCCACTAATTAGATTTTAAAATATAGTAGTCCAAAGTATTACCTGTTTCGGTAATACAGAAACCGTCAAATTCTGAACACTTTTCGGTGATGAAGATTCAATTTTTAAATCGTCATTTCTAGAGTCACCAATCATTTCGACACTTTTCTTCAAAGAATCCATCTGCATGGTAGGTCCTTTTGCAAACGGTCTAAGGGTTTGTACACACGTTCCTTGTGCGTTTTCCTCTGTTCCTGGTACACATTTGCAAATGCCGTTGCGTAATTTGAGACCTATAGGTATGCATTCTGAGTTAAAAGGACAGTCATCAGCAGCACCGACTTCGCATGCAATTTTTCCCAAAAAACTTGTTGCGTCCATGACCATGTCGTTTTCTGGACTATCCCTATCCAAATTTCTTACTTCTTCCTCCTCCAAATTGGGTAAGTTGCTGATAAAATGTGTGAGGAATTTATTGTCGTCCACATCGGAGAGTATGCCGTTGCGGCGATTAGTGTATGGAGCGTATATGGATTCTTCTTCTGGAGAATAAGTATTGCTAACCTCGTTGTAACTTGATTGGTCTAAAATATCTGACCAATTCTCTGTAAAAATTATGAAGACAATAAATTGATTTGTAGGTACGTTTGTACAATAATTTACATAATACAATTACAATGTAGTAAAATCTGACGTTATTAGTGACCATGAGCTAGTGAAGCTGTAGGCGACAAAACGATGCGTTGGCGTCGATATTTTATCAGTACTTGATTAAAACCCAAAGCCATATAATAAATATAACGCATATTGCCTTGGTGTTATTTCATAAATTTGGATAATCAGTACGTTTTTCAGTATCAGTATAATGTTTATTTGTAAGTCAATGGTATAATGTATAAAAATAATTTCTTGCAAATTTGGCGTAATTTTGATTGCTGTTGATCATAAATAGTCGTGTGAATAACTTGGGCGCCGGGCGAATTTTTATATTAGGCACATCAACATCATACGTATTTCACAATCAATTGCAGATGTACACAACATTCGCTACACACTGCACTATATATATTCAATTTCACGACAACAGCGTTGACATAGTTGCAATGCTATTTTTTTAATTTACTTTGATACTATATTTTTTACATAAATTGAAACTTAAAAACAAAAGCGAAAAAACAATAGATTAATACACATTTCAATACACGTACAATACTATATTCGATAATACCACTAGTGTTAATTTTATTATTATATAAAATTGAAGTTAGCTTGAGGCCTAAATACTGACAAAGGGTCAGCAAACATATCCGCATCACAAGTACTTCTCAAATCATTGTAGCTTCTACATAATATTCTATTGATAGGCGAATTGAAGCCTACATTTGTTCTACACTATTGTTTGCAAAATCTCAGAAATGATATGAAATCGACACAGTCACCAGTTGCGGCAACCGGACAAAGTCGCCGGTTGCCATAACCGCAATTTGTACGAAAATATAATATTTGCTTTTACAGTTCTCAGTTGCTTGTATCCAACACAAGACACACATTTTAGAGATTAATTTTTGTTTTTAATAAAATTTAACATGATGAATGAAGATAAAAATAGTCTGGACTAATTAGATATTGGCATGATGTCATCTGGTTAAAATTACCACACTTTTACTATGCACTTTATTTTTATAGATACTTTGATAGTTTGCGATAACGGCTCTGAGTAGTGCTTGTGGAGGAATCGTTACTCTGGTACTCATAGAAAGGGGAATTTTCAGCTTGAAATCTATACTAATACAAATGATACATATGGCACAAAAGTAGTTTGAAATATTAAAAAGCATTTTTTACTGTTTAATAGGATTTGTTGTTTATTACACTAGAACCAAACAAGAAAATTTCGAGGGCGCTGCATTCCTGGCCCCAATATTATGGAATAGTTGCAGCTAAATTATAACGCAGCTTTGATTTTTTTTAAAACAGCAAGAGACGGGACGACAAGTCGCGCGCCTGATAGTAAGCTACACGCTTGTCCTTAACCGTTACAGTGCCACTCAGAGCTTCAAAATTGCAAAGATCTGAGAGGCACTATCTGGCCCGTCTGCACACTGCGCCCGTCGCCCTGAGACATAAGTTTACAAATCATGTGCCTGTAATTTCGCCAACACCCTTAACCTTCAAAACCAGAACACAGTAATGCTCACATTACTGCTTGGCGGCAGAAATAGGTAAGGTGGCAGTACTATCCTGGACGAACTCTTTCACAAGGAGCTGTAATGCTACTAACTAGATTGGAACTACGAAGGTAGTAAAAACCCTACAATGTTAAAGGAACTATTGCGTTGTAAGATCAATTTAGATACCTATATCTATTTTTACTGTGGGCAGTTTGCGAAATACCATAGAGACCCCAGTAAATGATTTGTGATTATTTCTCATGGCAAACACACACATATCATCTTCCATGATTTATGAATATTATTATGTACTGTTGTTCCCGAGGTTTTTCACTAACAATGATCCCATGAAGTATCTACAAATGTAAATAAAAAATAATATACCGTTAGTCAAAACTGGCTTGACAAGTATCATAGAGAGCCTAGCGTCCCATTTCCGGCTATTAGGTCTTGGCAGCGGCAGACACAGCTCATCACTTACACACTCTACATGATAACATCTCTCATCCACAATAAATACAATGTTGCATGACTCTGTCAGGCAGCAGGACATCACACATTGTCGTAGACCTTTCAATTCTGGTTTCTCAGAGTAATTTCCAGCTGTTAGGTTTCCTGAAAGGTAGGTATTTAAGTTGCACCTATTGATATTTTTCCTTTATTTTGATAAGCAGTTAGTTGGACGCAATACTTTATAACATGAATAAACAGTTTTAATACAATTTCACAACAATTAATTAAGAAGAGAAGTACAGTGGTAAATTTATATTTAAATTCTTGTAGACACAAAATTCAGTTTTAAATTTGATTAAACTTTTTACAGTTGCAACTTGAGTGCTTTTCAGATGTTACACATAGGAAACTATTTTTTTTCAGATCTAAATCCTGTCAGCTGTGACCATGGGATAAAGGGCCCAAAGCAATGGTTTGATTGAAAAAACAAAAATCGCAATTTAAATCTGAAAAAAGAAATTTCATTTCCTGTAAAAGTTTTTGTTTAAGTTTGATTGTTATTATACCTAGAATGATTAACATAACAAACAAAAAAAAGCATCATTGGTCCACAGTACCTCCTACAGTATCAGATAGTTCAATAAATATTCTGTAAAATATATATTGCAAAGCTAAATTGATATATATGGAAATAATAATTTGTAGGCTTAGATAAGGTTTATCATTAATATTTTAATGATATAGAATTAAATGAATTAAAAATAAAACTGAACAAATTAATCATAAATCCAAGCTGAGGCTGAAATACGGAAATATACTGCAATTCTGTCCTTTTAATTTGCATATTGGTATTGCAGCTGGTGCTCACAAACACAGGGAATTTCTTAGTTTGAGATCAAGTAATTTGTTCATTTTTTGGCACATTTTTTGGCACATTTTTTAATTATTTTTTTTTGACAAATAACTGGTATAGAATTAATTTAGATTTAGAAGTAATCAGTGAATAAAGGCTATTTTTATTTATTATTATCATATCTATCACAATGAAGAGACCAAGCAATTGGATAATTTATTGGATAATTTAAAGAAGATACAGATAATGAGTTTTGACAGCCTTTACAGAGCTCTCCAAATAACATTTTAAATAATGCAATTAACTCAATTTTAAATAATGGAATTTACTCAAGTCATTGTTGTATATGAGAGACAAATACATGTGCCCTAATTCTAACCATTTATCGGAGACCCATTGAAAGGAGGTATTTTTAATGGTGGAAACTTCAAATTAGTACAACTATATGAAGAGGAGTTGCTATAGAGAACTAGTTTCTAATTTTATTAATTCTACTGTGTACATATTGTTAAAGCTGTCACAACATAATAATAAAATTATACATTTATTGTAAAATAAGTGTAGGGTTTTATCTAATAAACTGAGGTGTGTTTTTGTAAATAAATAAATAAGGTAATCAAAGATATACAAAAAATACTATAAATATATGTTTGTTCTATAAATATTCCCTAATCTGTAATTGAAATACCGGGAGAAATATAAAGTACTTACCCACAGGGGCATAATTAACAAAATTCTTTGGGTACAATTTTGGGCACTTATTGTTTTCATATTTATCACTCCACGGTTTATTGTACTGGGACAGCGATATCTTAATATTAATTAAAAATACTAGAATAAACAGATGCAGGATAGTATAAATTACACTCATTCTACGCTGATGTATTTTAATACGTATAAATTTGTTATAAATTAGCCAAAATAAATTCAATATTTAGCACAACAAAATTATCCGGTAAAGTGCACGGTTATCCGTATTAGAACTGTTTAATATAATATTGAACTGCTCAGGGTCTGTGTGGGTGTAGCGATAAAACAATTTAATTATTAATATGAAAACTTATACACAATGCAAATCGCAGAATTTTTCGTTCAAGAAATTTCTTGTAAACGGATGACGTACTCATGACAGCTTTTTTTTTTATTTATTTGTTGAGCATTGGCCATTAGCTTAAATAAGTAACACATAATTAAAAAACTTAAAACGTATTACATAAATAGGTAAAAATTAATTTAAATAATTTTTATCCTTTTGCATTTTCTACACAAATTGACACAAATCTCATGACGGCTTGATTAAAACTATTTATTTCACACGGATATTTTCCTATGTTTTTGTGGCCTTAATCTACATCCTTTCTTTTCGATGGTCTTAGTAAGCTAAAAGTTATTAAAATGGTGTAGGTGTAAACTAGAACGTTTGCTTTTTTTTTTCCATTAGCATCCGTCACGATAAAATTTAATTATAGTGATGTCCGTTTTGTATTTTTAAGCTGATTATAAAAAAATATGTCTATTGTCCGTTTTATTTATTTCGTCACTTTTACGAATCGTTACTGACTGTTCGATTTGTAAAGTAACGATCGAATGAAATCATTCATACGCGTAGCATAAGTAGGGTTCAGTCAAGAGCACATCAAGCTTGACACTTTCGTACTTTGGACCGTTCTTATCGTAAGCGGATAGAGTTGGATTTAAATCTTATGTATAAAGCTTGACGTGCTCTTGACCCTAAGGGCGCGTTTATACGACACGAATTTCATTGCGCTCACCCCACACGGTCGAAGAGCGGAGTCTCCGGCGGCCGCCGCCCAGCGACCGCGTGCTCGTGTACAGAGACCGAACTGTCATGGCAAAATACGCTCTATTTATTTAGCTTTTGGCTGGAGGGCACTAGCTTGTCTTTTGTCTACGCGGTCGCCGAGCGGAGTCCGCTCTTCCACCGCGCGACAGCCGCCGCGGACTCCGCTCTTCGATCGCGTGAAAACTTTCTCCTTTTTGGGCGCTAACAGTCAACACAGCACATTAAGCTGTAATGGGGCTGCCGGTGCTGGTGGCGTTATGTCCTGTTCGATGGAATGTAGTAATAGCCTCCGTACCCTCCATACATCTTACTTATTAAGTTTATAGTTCAAAGTTCAAAAGGGTAAAGAGTAATGGTAATAAATCCATTTTATAAGTATTTATTGCGGTTTTAACAATATTTATGATCTTAAAAATGTATATTGTACAAAAGATTTTTAGTAAAATGGTAAGCGGTTCAAAAAAAAAATAACAAGATGATGTTTTCTCTGTCGCGAGCGGGCAGGGAGTGACGATGGAACGAAACAAATTCAGAATGGAAGGCAAAATGATGGAACAATTCAACGAGTGTGAGGATAAAATAAGAAATTTAAATAAAAAGGTGGGATGACGATCAAGGAGGTCACACCGTCACAATACTCGGGGGGGAGAAAAAAAAAACATTCAAGATTTTTTGGGAAGTATTAAGTTAAATGAAAGGGACAATAGAAAAAGAACAAAGTAAGAATAGTGGTAGAGAAGGGATAGAGAGAGTAATAGCAAAGAAGGGATGAAGCAAGAGTTAAGGCCCATTTAGATGGGGAGAGTTTCTCGTCTCGAAAGAATATACAAAATTTTCCTCGTCTTAACATTCGCGATTATCGACTGTCCACGTGAGCGATAATTGCCTCGCCTTTGAATATTGAACGTCACCGTGCAAACAGAACTTGACAGCAAAAATCGTATTTCGAGTTTTTGTGCCAGCCAGTCGCTAACATGAGTGCAGTGCGCGAGGGTGTTTGGATGCTTTTAATGCTGGAAGAATTATGGTCTATCCACACATATCCGTGGACTTGGACGGGCCGTGCTCCTTCAGGGCTCAAAAAAATATCGTTGCGTATGTTTTGATGAACTCGTTCACACATGTCCGTTTTCCGGGCCGGCGCCCGCCGGGACGGGCCCGCAGTTCATACAAACTAGCACGCCCCGGCCACGTCCCGGGCACGGCCCGGTTGTTGATAGATAGTCCTTTAATGAAACGAGAACGAAAAAACATGTGTTAAGAAATGTTATAAAATTAAAATATATATATATATTTCTTTAAAGTGCAATATGAGTGCAATGAACCTAATA